TTGTCTAAATGAATTATTGCCTTTTTCATCACATCAAGATTCTCTCGTCCACGCTTTTATGTGCTTTTCATATCTATCGCTTGTTCCTTTTTCTGCCTTATTTTAATGATGATGTTGCTGCTCACTCTGTGGCTTGTTTTCTCTCTCTTCTTTCCGCTCTTTTCTTTCAACATCACATTGACGACTTTAAATCTGCAGATTAAGTGAGTGAAATGAAAGCTTTGCTCCCACTCAGTTTTATGTTTTTGCTTCCTTTTTACTGTATAGCGGAATTTTGTGCGGTTTTGGTGTTGCGGGCTTTGTGTTACTGACTGTCGTTTACATACTCAATTTATTTTAAATTGTCCGTTTTGATTTGATTGGTGCCACATGAAGAAAATCTCCAACAACATTTAAAATACTGCCAAATACTCATGTTAGTTCCATTTGATAAGTCTCTTGCATTATAAATAACAAAAATGCACTTTAACAATTCATGTTTGACCACATTTGTACTTCTTTTCATCTTTTTATACTAAATATTTTATTTAAATCTACTTTGTTGATACAAATTCATTCAGCACCTGTATACATCAAAAACTATTCACATATATTCGCATACATGAGCCTGTCGTTCTGAAAAATGTTTTGTTTTTAGCATAAATTTGGATGATAAAGTGACTCATTAGTGTGGAGAAGTGGCGAAGCTAGGCTGGAGATTGATTGGGAAATCACTTCCTTTTCTCAAAAATTTAAAATTGGATACATTTTATACCGTTCTCAAAGTTTAGAATTTCAAATAGTTTAGAGATTGTTGATTAGGTTTTTAAAAGTTTGGACTCCTCACAAAATCTAAGTTTGGACTAAAGTTTCAATTATTTAAGTTCCAAAAATGCGCCTAATCACTCTTACCTCAAACCCTCCTCATTTAAAAAATTTTCAAACATTCAGACACGACTCATATTCACCTTTTTTGTTAACATCAGTTGTGACAATGACGACAGTTTGCAACAACAACAAAAAAAAGGATAAACATTGAATATTTTTCGGCAATTTCGTGCTTATTTGAAAATGAATAATTGTGCCGTTTTATACAGATTATGCTTAAAAGTAAGCATACGAAGATGAATGAATTCATTTTCATCAACTGTGAAAGGAAAAGAATAAAGCGAACATCCTGAAAAGACTGTCAGATTTATCTGATTTCACTTTTTCTCATTCTATTGTGCTAAAGTCATGCTTTAAATGAAGCAGACGCGAAATAGACTTTATTTTTTAAATTGCTACAAAATACACGACTTTACTTCCTTTTGTTCATTTTAAAGTTTCGAATTCTCATGGAGCCAATTCGATGAGATGATAAAAATAAATACATTCGTCTGTTGGATTATCAATTTTTATATTTCGTCTCTACGTGGGAAAATTGAATCATCTGGCACGGGCACAAGAAAATTTAATTTAAAAATGATTGACATGCCTGTAGTTATTAAATTTTTAATATAGTATGGCGAATTTATTTGATTTATTGTACAGATATTTATATATCTCGTGTTGTACTGTGTGAACGAAATATTTGCGGTCATATTTGTGTCGCTGTGCATAAGTAAAAAAAATTTTTATTGAGAATTTAATGTTCTGATGTGAATATATATTTATTTTTATGGATGGAATTATGGCTACGAAGATAGTATGAAAAAGCACTGGATTTTCCGCTACAAATTACACTGAGAATATTGAAACGCGTACAGATTTATGTCAAGTAGAGAGCTTATGGATGACTTTATTATACATGTGATATGAGACTGAGTTGATTAAGCCGAATTGATTGTATGCTTAATTGATGAAATATTAAAGATTTGATTATTTCTATTTATGTATAGAATAGATTAGCGACTAGGTTTTGTAGGTTTTCATTAGCTATTCATCTAAAATCCTTATATCTTTAAAGGTTCTCTAAAAGTTCAGATTTAGGTAGACACTCTGATTCTAGAATTAAAAATCTTTATACTTTCTTAGAGCCGTTCACTTATGACGTCCAAAGGGGGAGGCGTCAGCAAGAAAAAAAAACGTGGTAAAAACAATAGAAATTCCTGGAAATCCATTGTTCTTTTTTGAAAAATAACCGTTAATTTCGGATGTCATAATTGAACGGTCCCCTTAAACGGTTACTTGTCTTAAATTTAAAAATTCGAATCTCAAAACTCTTTAAATTTTATTGATAAAATTAAACCCTAATAATCACAATGAAATGCCTCTCCAAGAATCAACATGAAACATGTTCAACTTCATCTTTCCATAAAAACTGCAACAGAAACTGCAATCATACCTGATGAAATCACCGCAAGCCTAGCCACAATCTGATAACTTTTATTCACATTTCACTCATTTAAGTTAGCAAGTGTTGATCATTTGGATTTAGATAAATTTTTAATTGAAAAGTTGAATATTTATGCAGGATATACAGCACACACCACAAACAGTAATTAAAGTTTATTTCGTTATTTTTCAATATTAATTTTTTGTTCATCTCTTATTATTTTTACGTTACGTAATGAGGGGTCGTTCACTTATGACGTCCGAAATTAAAGATAGTTTTCATGAAAGAAGAATCGATTTCCAGGAATTTCTATTTTTCTTTTATTGGTGACCCCCCCCCCCCTGGACGTCAAAAGTGAACGTCCCCTAAGTGGATAGCCCCCTTATTATGTCTTCTATCGAAGGGAAAATTTCTCAATATCTACAATTTTCATTAATTTTCCGAATTTTCCTATAATTAAATTTACAAATGGATTTTCATAGAAAAATTTTCCATTCATTCATCATTTCCTTTAAACAATTTTTCCTCATTTTACTTGCAACGAGGAAGATGTAAACTTTTATGCTGCTTTTTTTCGATTCCTAAGCAATCCTTTTTTGAGGAAGATATAAAAAATAATATTATGAAACATATGAGATTCACCATAATGAATATGATGTGTTTGCTGTTCTCATAAAATATAAAGAAAAACTATTAAATCCCTTCTTTCATTTGCCTTTTCACTACTTTATCTCTGTATGTTTGGATCCCTTTCATTGATGCTCTTATTTTGTGCGCTTAAAAGAAATGTTTCTTCTTGCTTTAGCTTGTGCTAGGCAGAGATTGTTCTTAATTGAATGTATTTTGGAAATTTCTTTTGATTTGATAACATTTGGGACAGAGTTGATTATAATTTTTGAAGTTTTTGTTGATGATCAGCGATATTAAAAGCTTGTGAATAAATTACAATTTTGATAATCTTTAACTTAAGATTGACTCAGATTTTGTATGAGAAAAAGACATTTTGAGTTATCTTCAACCTAAATGTTAATTTTTACTTCCATAATCATCAAAACAGCTAGAATTCAATTGAAAATTTAAGCAGCAACTATATTTGTGTAATTGATTGTTTATTTGTGTACCAATTGCAATCTAGAAAATAGAATCAGATTCTTTTAAACTATCGGAAGCTGTGAGGTTAATAATTCCAACTCAATTCTAGCTCATTCACAGTTTATTTACATTTATTCATAGTTAAAGCAGTGCTATACATGCAAATCATCATCACCCCAAATACTTCACTTTGTAACTTTTTTGATGTAAGACATCGTTCTTCTCCATTCTTCATCAAATATTCTCGACAAGTTTTTCTATATTAAATTTTAAAATTAATTAAAAATGTCGAAAAGACCTTCCAGCTTCATTATTTGTTATGACAAATTTTTCTCAATGTAAACACATGTTTTGACGAAGAAGAAGTGAGTCTACATAGCAAAAATAATATTCATTATGTTCAATGATATAAACAACCTTTTATAATGATGTATATTGTATGTCACGTGTGTAGCTCTTGTTCTGTTCTAATTTAAAGTCTGTCGTATATTTTAAAATAATATTTTAAAAGATAAAAAGAGAGAGATATTTATAGGGGCTGCATATTCATACGAGTAATGACAATAATAATAATAATAATAATTTAAAGTACATGCTAAGCATCTTGTATCAATTTTCAATTAAATTTCGTTGGAATTATTATCATTGTGTAGCAAATACACAATCATTCGCTTATGCAGAGCGGAATATTCAAATGACATGGCATTGCTTGTCTCATTACTATTATTTGTTTATCGAGACCAAAAATCAATATTCGTAATTACGGAGAGAAAAAGCTTTTGAAAATATTTAAAATTGTCATGTTTCATGAGATACATCATTAAGTATTTATAACAATTCGATACGTGGAATATAAAGCACATCATTTAGAAAAGCTACAATCTCTCAGGTTTCTATCAGATTGGACGTACTCCAATGTGCCAACAATTTTATTTTGTTTTTGTTCAATTCCAAAAATAAAGAATTAAATAATAAAGCTCGAGAAAAAATTATTTGAGACGTTTGTCCTTTAAAACTTGGTGGTCTTGGATGTTCTAATGCAGACTAGAATTTGTATCAGGATTCTCATTGTTTCTCAAACAATGCTCCGCTGAGCTTTACTGTTCCAGTATTAAAATAGTGGCTACCAGCGTGGCACAAAAACATGACGAATGATCTGCTGCTTCTTTACTGCTCATTGGTCTTAAAAAGTTTGAGAAACACTGCCTTAAAGTGTGATGCAAAGTCATGTTAGAGTGATTTCAGCCTTAGGGGTATCTAGGGAGATGTTTTGGGCGTTAAAAACCTTCGAGAAGACTTAAATCCTTCCATCTCCAAAACTTTCCTTCTGCACCTCTCCTGCTATAATTAGTCAATGAAATTTGAAGACCAAAATTTGGAAACCTGTTGAAAAAAAAATTTTAAAACCTTTACTAAATGACAATATCTGATTCTGCAGTCATTCACTTATGCATCAAGGAAAAGTTTAACAAAACAATTGTTTTGTGTATCTTATTATAAATAGAGCCTAAATTTATGATTGTGCTTCAATATCAAACTTTGTGGAAGCATCACAAAACTTCTAGATGTCATTAGTGAACGATGCCAAAAACTTATTTAAATGTTTGATCAAAAGATTTTTAAAATTTTATTCAACTTTTATTTTTCATTGTTCAAAACTATACAAAAGAAATTGTCATTTGGAGTCGCTATTCTTACTAATAAATTTCAAAAAAGATTCATTGATAAGTAATTGATTGACATTATTGATAAACTCATAAGAATGTGACAGAAAAAAATGCATGAATCCTTAATCTCGTTTCAATTGCTAATTTCCATTTAACTCTTATTATTTATTTCATCATTAGAATGTTGAAAATATTATTAAGTATTTATCCTTTTTTTATATTGCAAGAAAATTTTATTTTTGAATTATTGTAATTTCTCATTTTAATGCCATCATTATCATCACCATAATTCATTAATTAAATCCAACAATGTAGCGTAATTCGTTCAATTAATGCCAAACTTATGATAACAACAATGATGTAAAATTAAATTTGATGTGTCAATATTTATCGTGTAATTAACGAGAATTTGTCACGTTACTCATGATTGTGGTCTCGTCAATTGAAATTTGCTCATTTTTCTGCTCAATACATGCGGGACAACACTTTCCAATCCTTTTGCCAAATATTAAACCATTTTCACATTTGAGCGTTATATCGGGACATTTTTCAATGGTACATGTTATTTGATGATGCTGACATAAACAACTTGTACAGTCATCCTCCATCCAAATTTCATTATTTAATCGATTTATTCCTTTTTTATCTACACATTGAAGATGATGCTTCAATGATTTCAAATTATTATTATTTCGATTATCTTTATTGTTGCTATTACTAATGAAATCCTCATCATCATCATCGTGATATTTCTTTCTATGTGGCTGGTCATGTTGTTGCTGGGTCATATTTAGATTCTGAATGAGTTCATTATTGGTTTGCTTCAATCCACGAATCTCACGTCGCATCTTCTTGAGTGTTTTTTGGAATGATTCAATCAGATTTTCGAGTCCCTCAATGCGCTCTTCATTCATGTCAAAGTAATCATTATCGATGCTAACAAAATGGACATCCTCATCGTCATGATGATGAATGTTATTGTATTCAATTGAATTTAGTTCAAAATTTTTATCATTTTTATTATCGACCATTTTCAAGTCACGTCTGAATCGATTACGTCTGGGTAATTGTGTAATGTCGAGATTATATGCGGCACGATGACTACAGTCACTGCAGTCTGTCCATACACGTAATGAAATCATTGGAATATCCTTGCAATTGACATAACCGCCTTGATGGGATGGTAAAGTGAAAATATCTCGTGTTATTCGTGTTATATTGTCACCATTATCACACAAGACTCGTGCTAATGATGTTTGCTTAATTTGTGCCAATTGTTCTGGCTTAAAAACGGATGGATTTTCATACCAAAATCGGTCACCATTTCTTAATCTCTTAAATTGATCAGCAATGATGCACCGGAAGAGTGGACCGACACGAGCACCTGGCATTACATCCTCTAATATTCCACCGACCCATAAATCGATAGAATCCGGATGTCCATAAAGCTTCTTTAATTTCTCTCTCACATGCTCATCAGTGATATCAGTTAATTCCTCGAATGTTGTTGACGTTGTCAAATTGCACAATTTTCTATAATCCATATAGCTATGAAGTGCATGATCTCGTCCACGCTGTATATTCATTGCTGCTAAATCGAGTGAAACGGCATGAGCAACAGTAAATAAGTGCTCTGTCAGATCTGAATTGAGTGACTGTTCAGGCTTCTTTATTTTGGCAGGCATTGTAAATAAACCACGCATAATAGGATCAACGCCACCTTCATAAACAAGACGCCATGGAGCGAAAAATGCATTTCTCAATGGTAAATGTCCTTGTTCAATTGGCTCAAAATTGTAATCTAATCGATGCAAGACAGGATTAATTAATGAATGTCCAAATCGGAAAGCAGCCGTAGCAAATTCATTTGAAATTGATGGATTAATGTTCGAATCGTAGCCCTGATATTCTCCAAGAAGTGTCTTTCCGTCACTTCCAATAACGTGTCCCAACCATTGCATTGTAATGTGCTGCATCATTGCTCCGACAATTTTTCTAGCTTCCTGATAAGTCTGCTCACCCGTCCAATGTGGATTTATTTCATTGAAATATTTTACAATTCGATTATGTTCTCGCATCCATATCGTGTGCATTGAAAGTAATCCAGTTTGCTCGTTCACACGAACATCGCCAGCTGTGAAACAATTTACTGAACTTTCCTCCAAACTTCTTCGACAATCAATACCATCTGTTGGCGATGCAAATGGCAACATTGATTTTTGATTTGGGAAGTGAACACCTTCACGTAAATATCCATTATCTTCACCTTCTAATGAAATATTACGTAAGTCCCGTGAGAATTCCTGAGAATGTCCATAAACTTGTGATGCATCGATGAAAGCTGTTAATTGATTAATCTGTTCACGTGGTTGAAGCTTGCCAAAGAATACTGACGTCATTCCTGATCCACAAGCTGCACTTGATCTTACAAAATCTATACAGCGACGGTTAGTGACGCGTGGATCATTTGGTGGAACTTCCATTGGGAAACAAGGTGGAGCAAAATCGCATGTCTTTTTACAATCAACACCATCCCAACTTTCTAAACTGACAGACGGTAACGAATGGTCGAGATCGTGATCGAGAAATTGTCCCCATTGCATAACCATATGCGTAATTTCCATATCCTGTTCAACGACATCTGTAGAGATTAATGTGGTCGATATGAGACGTGCACTTGGCAATTTAAATCCATTGTACATAGCATTTGTTGATCCAACGGGTGCATTAAGGCCATTTTCATATCTCGCAGGTAATAAACGTCTAAATGCACTCAACGATGTTCCCCATAATGAATTTTCAAAATTATTGCATGTGCCGTCGATAGTCCTATATTTATTATGATAACAAATGTCAGTGCAATTTGGTGTGACACGATGTGCTGTGCAATCTGATAATTGTGCCAATAAATCCAAATATTCTGATGATAGCAAATCATCATAGTTGAAAATGTCTGTAGCATTTGCTGTAAGATTCTTTCCGGCGTTCACATGACGACGTATATTTACGAGAGTACGCTCATAAATTTCAGATGCTCTTGCAAGTTCTCGAGCGGGTCCTATATTATTTTTCATCGTCGATGAAAACACGAGCAACAACAAGCGTTTGATAATGTAAGGAAAGATAATAATAAGAAGAAAATATGGAAAAAAATGTGAAAAAATTAAATTTTTTGAGTACTTCAGTAGATGATATTACCTGTGGGAAATCTAACGAGTTTAAATAAATCACTTTGCTGCTTTGGCGCTGCTGTATCTTTGAAAAGTGATGCAACCGTTTGATTGATAGCGGCATCAACCTCATTCCTTGCTTCTGAGAGTGCGACACGAACAAATTTATCGCCAAGTGCCAATTCTTCTTTCCTCCTTATTTTTTTTTTTTTAAAAAAGTACAACCACAATGTTTATTGTATGTACAGGATGAAGAAGAAGGAGATAAGAAACGATAAAAAAGTAGGAAAAAAATTGTTTATTATTAACAATAAATCATCAATGTCCATTGCAGTACGAATTTTTTTTTGTGTATTTGAAAATGGGGGCTGTACTCTTATTAGGTCCATGAAATAATTTAATTTTAACACCCACTCTACTATTGTCTAAAAATTGATTTAAAGTGTCACAACTTGTCTTCACTAAAATTTGAAATTTATGGACATCATTTGTCAATGACTCCATATGGTCCATTGAATAGTTGAATGGCGAAGAATCTCGAGCAAATAGACAGAACATGAACAAATGGATAGGAAAATAGAGCAATATGAGAAATTGAATCTTAAAAGCTGTTTGTTGAATATTCATCTGACTCTGACTAAAATTAAAGCAGCTTCAAAATTTTCTCATTTCTCGTCCACAAAAACAGCAAAAAGTAAGATATGAAAAAACTTTTCATACCCAAGAGGGAAATAATCAGACCCATCATTTTTCACTTTTTATCATTCAATAGCCTATCATGTTTTTCTGTTCATCAACATTCCAGACGGACGAGCAGACATAATCACTTTATTTTCATGGAATTTTCCCTCAATAAAATGCACCAAAATTGATTTTTATTTTTTTATTTTCATGCCTCGAATAAAGGAAGTAAAAAAGAGAAAGTTGTATGAAAAAGCAGGCGAGTCACTAGCCCATGTATTTTTTTTTACTGCCGTTCCTTTTTATTCCAACACTATACGAATGAGAGTATATGAAATGAATATGTTCATTCTATTAATACACAAGATTTCATTCCTACACTATACGTTGGATATACAACATATATGAACACCGACAATGTCCATCTTATATAAAATTATCGACAAAAAAAGGTTGTTTCTTTTTGAAAAAGTGGGAGTTTGCCTCGTTTACATTCTAAATACATTAACAACATACCAAAATCAGATGGAATTAGGAATGAGACATAAAATATGAATCCTTGATAAGGTCAAAAGTGAAGAAGACCGAAAAAGGAGGAACTTTATGAAAAATGACTTGAAGCTCACAAAGTGAATCTAAAAACATGCTTTATTGTGATTCAATCTACCACTAATCCCTTTCATAGCTTACGGCATTAGAGTCATGTGAGGCAGTAACAAAAACTTCTCAAGTAGAAAATCCTCACCGTAAAAAAAATTGTTCTCTAACATACCTAACAGTAACGAAACATGATGCTGTCACACGTCCAAAATCATTCGTCACGGTACATTCATAGCGTCCGGAGTCGAAATCATTTACATTAGCAATGAAAAGGCTACCGGCTGACGAGAAGCTGTACTTTAATGATGGCGTTAGTGTTCGACCGTCTTTCTTCCATTTTGACTGAAAATGCAAATAAAAGTGGCATGGAAAGGATAGAAAAAAGGTTTTCAATTCCAATTTCATCTTAATTGATTAAATTGTCCAGACTTACTGGTGGAACTGGATCTCCCTCAGCTCCACATGGCAATTCAATTGTCGTTCCTGGAAAAGCCTCAATATCATACGGTTCGTATACTAAAACAGGTGGTCCATAAGGATTTACAACTTCAACATTCGCAGACGCCTCATCTGAGCCGAGACTATTCTCAGCAACGCACACATAATGTCCTGCATCAGATTCCTTAATGTGGTCAATGTTCAAAGTTTTATTATCCGTGGAGAGATAAATGCGGCTTGAGAATTTTAGTGGATGATCATCCTTTGACCAGAAAATATTTGGTTCCGGTTTGCTATCAGCATTACAAAACAAAACCACATTGGTTCCGGTTTTCTCTCGTTTATCCTCAGGAGATGTTATTATTGTGGGTACTGTAAGGATGGATATAAATAAATAAAGAATAATTATGACAGTGATTGAGAAAGTCCAATTTATTTTGATTAAGGAAAGATGGGAATTAATTTTATCTTGTATGATGTTATTTGTGGCTAAAGGCTAGAGATTCTCAACTCAGAATATCGATTCAGACGAAAATCATTAACAATTAATGAAATGTAGTCTCGTTCGCATGCTATTCTTCATTAATCTAATTAAATGATTACACTAACAATTTAAGTGATCGATTATGGATATGTCAATGTGGAATCATTCAATAGCCAGACAGGAATTTATCGATAAAATTTTAGTATAATTTATTTAAGATTAGAGAGTGCTTTAAATGTCACAAACATATATTCGGCAACTAAAGTATGTTAAAGGGAACCTTTTGATGCATCAAATAGGATAACTTCCAAGAAGGTAAAATGAGAAATGTTAAATATTTGTATGCCTTAAAACTACTGATCTGTACCCTAATGCATCATTCTACTACACAGAAAAATAATTTTATCCGACATAATTTACATAGTTGCTGTTAAGTGTGGAATCTCAAAAGAAGCACTGACTGAGTCCTTTTTCACAATTTCCCAGAAAATCTTTTGCCATTCCTTCTTTTTTTCTCATCTCATTATGCCCTTTTATTCAGTTGCTCTTTACTTGAGCGTTTACTTCAGAGTTGTTTTTTGAATTCTTATGATTAAAATTGATGAGATCTAGACTTAGTAGCTGCATGTGATTTTTCGAACAAAATATATCGCTGTCAGTATCAAGAATTCTGTTCTTTAGACTTCAACTCTTAAATTGAATCCAACAGCTTTCAGTAAAATCAAAGGTCGTTTTTGCAGGACTGCCTGGTCAGAAAGCCTGAGATACCTTAACTTAGAAACAACAAAATATGTACTAAACTCTTGGATGAAGCGAAGTTTGGCTATTACTAGGCGAGGATAACCCGGATTTCCCTAAAACTCAGCCACTCTAGTTTAACAGCTGAGTATCGATCTGATATGACGTCATCAAAACCAGAGTATTGAATCAGCTGCATCAACAAGCTATGGCTATGCATGAATTAATATAATGTTCTAATAAACTTTTACAACTTTGATTGACTTTACTTGTTTGCAGTCAACAACGCTGCATTCAATATGCAGTCATCCATCCATTCACTCAGCCAACCATCCATGTATCCGTTCATTCAGTGTCGAGTCTAGATTAAATTTAATTTTTTTCTTGTTTCCTTTTTGTAATGAAATATAAGAAAAGGAAGAAAAGCAAGAATCGCTGAGAGAATTAAAACTAAACAAACTGTTGAATAAATAATATTGAAACATTGCCACGAAGTATGTGCATTTTAAGTTAAACATATTTTTGCAATACACTATAAAGTGTTGTTTGTAGAGCTTGCTACTGTTGCTGTGCTCTATGCTTCTCTATTTAAAATAATTTAAACTTTTACTACAACAAGCTATTTCACATAAAGCTTTATATTATGCAATCAGTAGCTTAAAAATTTGCATGTAGCACAAGCTCTTTATCAGAAAACAAAGTCTTGTAGTTGGTGATGCTTTAATTTTTTTTTTATGTAACATCCTCGGCTGTACGGTGACATATAAATATAAAAAATCTTTCATTCATCTTTCCTTTCAACCCATGTTTTTGTTAATTTTTTAATTTTCTTTTTTTTTCGCTGAACAAATAAACAACAACAACATGCCAGTATGTGTGTCTGTGACTGTTTTGAACGAGGAAATGAAAAGCATCAACAACAGCAGCATTTTTTTAAGGTGAAAACTTTTTTAATATCCCCTAAGCTTTTTTTCTGTTTTATGCAACTTTATTTTTAAAACTCAGAGTTTCGTGATAAACATTTCATTGTGTTATTTCATCCATGCCACCGTATCAAACTATCTTCTGAATAGTAGCTAACAACATTCTCTAACCATTAATTTTTAATGACTTATTCTCAACTCATTCTTTATGCGATTATGAGTAAAAACGGAAAATTAGGTGTGTGTGAGTGAAAATGAAAGGAGTCAGATAAATCATGTTATGGAGTGCTAGTAGATTTTGAAATGAGGAAGTTTGAATAATGCTTGATCTATTGAGACGCTTTCTTGCTAAAGAGTGCATCGGTGTAGATGAGAATTACCTGAATTTGGTTCAAAATCAAAATCAGGATAATAAGGATTGCAGATTCTTTTTAATTTTAGCAAAGTATAAAGCCTAAAGAGTCTTTAGAACAATAGCCTAGTAAATAACAACTATTTAACCCCCCCCCCCCTTCCCCCTTCTTCCTTCTTCTCCCTTCCACCTAATCCTCTAATGGATAAGTTTCTAGTAACTACACTGGCACTAAGTGTCAATATTTGATTAAAATTAATGAATTTTTGAGTATGAACAAAATTCAGATGGGGTAGTCGAAATTTTAGATTTCGATTTATTTTAAGCTATGCATTACAAAAAGTAATATTGGTATGTGATTTATGTCAGAATTATGTCAATTCAAATAAAACATCCAAAAAATTTTTTTGAACAAAGAACACCATAGAAAATCAATTTTCAATTTTAGAGTAGGGGCGACACTAGTCAAAATCAATTTTGTCACTTTTTTCTTTGAGGGTTTATCCAAATGGATTGAAACTTTGCATAAATATTTTAATGATTAAAACAAATACAAATAAAACATCCTAAAATTTTTTTGAGCAAAGAACCAAGTAGGAAATACATTTTCAATTATGAACTTGGGACAGGTCTAGTCAAAATCTAGTTTTTCACTTTTTTTTTCGAAGATTTATCCAATTACAGTGAAACTTTGTGTGAGTATACAAATATTTATACAAAACAGTTTTGAATATCTAAAGCAAGAAATGTATTCTATATGTCGTCAGACACCAATTTTATAAATTTGGTTGTACATTCAAAAACAACGTGACTTAAAATTTTGTCCAAAAAAATGATTTTTATTCATTCAGAAATGTGTGACCTGAGGATTAGAATGCTAATACAAAGTTTTACTGTATTTAGATTTATCCTCGAAGAAAAAAAAGTGAAAAACTAGATTTTGACTAGACCTGTCCCAAATTCATAATTGAATTGAAAATGTATTTCCTACTTGGTTCTTTGCTCAAAAAATTTTAGGATGTTTTAATTTTATTTGTTTTAAGCACTAGAATATTTGTGCAAAGTTTCAATCCATTTGGATTAACCCTCGAAAAAAAAGGTGAAAAACTAGATTTTGACTAGACCTGTCCCAAATTCATAATTGAATTGAAAATGTATTTCCTACTTGGTTCTTTGCTCAAAAAAAATTTTAGGATGTATTATTTGTATTTGTTTTAAGCACTAGAATATTTGTGCAAAGTTTCAATCCATTTGGATAAACCCTCGAAGAAAAAAGTGACAAAATTGATTTTGACTAGGGTCGCCCCTAGTCCAAAATGAAAATGTATTTCCCACTTGGTTCTATGCTCAAAAAAATTTTGGGATGTTTTATTTGTATTTGTTTTAAGCTCTAGAATATTTATTCAAAGTTTCAATCCATTTGGATAAATCCTCGAAGAAAAAAGTGACAAAATTGGTTTTGACTAGGGTCGCCCCTAGTCCAAAATTGAAAATGTATTTTCTACTTGGTTCTTTGCTCTAAAAAAATTTTAGGATGTATTATTTGTATTTGTTTTAAGCACTAGAATATTTATGCAAAGTTTCAATCCATTTGGATAAATCCTCGAAGAAAAAAGTGACAAAATTGATTTTGACTAGGGTCGCCCCTAGTCCAAAATTGAAAATGTATTTCCTACTTGGTTCTATGCTCAAAAAAATTTTAGAATGTTTTATTTGTATTGGTTTTAATCATTAAAATATTTATGCAAAGTTTCAATCCATTTGGATAAACGCTAGAAGAAAAAAGTGACAAAATTGATTTTGACTAGGGTCGCCCCTAGTCCAAAATTGAAAATGTATTTCCTACTTGGTTCTTTAATCAAAAAAATTTAGGATGTTTTATTTGTATTTGTTTTAAGCACTAGAATATTTGTGCAAAGTTTCAATCCATTTGTATAAACCCTCGAAGAAAAAAAGTGACAAAATTGATTTTGACTAGGGTCGCCCCTAGTCCAAAATTGAAAATGTATTTCCTACTTGGTTCTTTGCTCAAAAAAATTTTAGGATGTTTTATTTGTATTTGTTTTAAGCACTAGAATATTTGTGCAAAGTTTCAATCCATTTGGATTAACCCTCGAAAAAAAAGGTGAAAAACTAGATTTTGACTAGACCTGTCCCAAATTCATAATTGAATTGAAAATGTATTTCCTACTTGGTTCTTTGCTCAAAAAATTTTAGGATGTTTTAATTGTATTTGTTTTAAGCACTAGAATATTTGTGCAAAGTTTCAATCCATTTGGATAAACCCTCGAAGAAAAAAGTGACAAAATTGATTTTGGCTAGGGTCGCCCCTAGTCCAAAATGAAAATGTATTTCCCACTTGGTTCTATGCTCAAAAAAATTTTGGGATGTTTTATTTGTATTTGTTTTAAGCACTTGAATATTTATTCAAAGTTTCAATCCATTTGGATAAATCCTCGAAGAAAAAAGTGACAAAATTGGTTTTGACTAGGGTCGCCCCTAGTCCAAAATTGAAAATGTATTTTCTACTTGGTTCTTTGCTCAAAAAAAATTTTAGGATGTATTATTTGTATTTGTTTTAAGCACTAGAATATTTGTGCAAAGTTTCAATCCATTTGGATAAATCCTCGAAGAAAAAAGTGACAAAATTGATTTTGACTAGGGTCGCCCCTAGTCCAAAATTGAAAATGTATTTCCTACTTGGTTCTATGCTCAAAAAAATTTTGGGATGTTTTATTTGTATTTGTTTTAAGCACTAGAATATTTATTCAAAGTTTCAATCCATTTGGATAAATCCTCGAAGAAAAAAGTGACAAAATTGGTTTTGACTAGGGTCGCCCCTAGTCCAAAATTGAAAATGTATTTTCTACTTGGTTCTTTGCTCAAAAAAAATTTTAGGATGTATTATTTGTATTTGTTTTAAGCACTAGAATATTTATGCAAAGTTTCAATCCATTTGGATAAATCCTCGAAGAAAAAAGTGACAAAATTGATTTTGACTAGGGTCGCCCCTAGTCCAAAATTGAAAATGTATTTCCTACTTGGTTCTATGCTCAAAAAAATTTTAGAATGTTTTATTTGTATTGGTTTTAATCATTAAAATATTTATGCAAAGTTTCAATCCATTTGGATAAACGCTAGAAGAAAAAAGTGACAAAATTGATTTTGACTAGGGTCGCCCCTAGTCCAAAATTGAAAATGTATTTCCTACTTGGTTCTTTAATCAAAAAAATTTAGGATGTTTTATTTGTATTTGTTTTAAGCACTAGAATATTTATGCAAAGTTTCAATCCATTTGTATAAACCCTCGAAGAAAAAAAGTGACAAAATTGATTTTGACTAGGGTCGCCCCTAGTCTAAAATTGAAAATTGATTTTCTATGGTGTACTTTTGTCAAAAAAATTTTTTGAATGTTTTATTTGAATTGACATAATTTTGATATAAATCACATACCAATATTACTTTTTGTAATGAATAGCTTAAAAAAAATCGAAATCTAAAATTTCGACTACCTTATCTGAATTTTGTTCATACTCTTCACTGTGAAATCCAAAAAACAAATTCTTTATCTTAAAACACTTGACAAAATAGCGACATAATTCAGGATTAATTACTTTTTAATAATATTTTAACATTTACGAGAAAATGTGGTTCAAATAAGTGTGAAGTATGGCCGAGATTTGGACCAAAATCAGCTATACTGGTTCATAGTGTTCCCGAGGGTGACAAAATTCAAACTAAGTGTTTTTTTGTAGCTGAGATAATTATAACATAAATTAGGTATAACTTTTGAACTGTGTCGATATGTGTCTCGGCCGTACTTCACGCCCACTTTAAACTACAATCTCAAAAACAGCATAAGTAATCAATTCTCATTAAATTATTATTTGAAATTCATAAAATTCATTAAGTCAATTTCTACAACAACTCATAAAATATCGATTTCATTAGCATAATAACATCTAATTTATTCCAAAATGATACGCTCTAGTCAGTCTGGAAAATTAACAACTGATTATAAGCTTCGCACACAAAAAATAAACAAGTGAAAGCTCTCACATGAGACTAGCTTACACAATAATTTTAATTCACATGCAAATTAATTATTAAGATCAGTTACAAGCTGCTGTTGTGTATTGTGTGGTATATTGAACATAAATTATTATATATAGCCTGTAATTTACATCTCATGTGACACATAGAACTATGGATTTGTGTGAAAAATTTTCGGTTAATTTGTTAACTTTCATTTTATAATTAATGACTTTCTATATAATTATTTATAAAACAATGGATATGCTGATTACATCCATATATCTTAAAATTTTATTCAGCAAAGCGAATAGAGCTATAACGTTATAACAAAAGGAGTCTACCTCACACCTAGCACATAAAATAGATTCTTCCAGGAAAACTTTTTTCCCTTACGACAAATATTGCTTTATTCGCCCTTTTTCTATTCATGAATAACTATCCAACTATAGTTTAATTATTTCCTTATGTTTCAACATAAAATACACATAGCATAATAGGATAGAATGCAGGCAAAGTTACGTACGTACGTATTGCAAAACTATACTAATTAGATTGCAGTTATGTGTACAGTAAGTAAACGTTTTGTGGAAAGAATCTCTTTTATTTTCCTTTCCACTCGACTCACTTATGAATCATATTAAGGCACACAAGTATGTGAACAGCTGTTTACCGCATACACATTTTTGTCATGCATTTTTGCTAAACATTTTAAATTTTTCATTACCTCATAAAATTGTATGGAACTTGCACTTGTGAATGAATTTTAAAAGATTTAACATGAAAATTATTGAGCATGAATATTTATATAGGAATAGTTTAATAGCAGGCAAATTGTAACATTTAGGTTAATGCAAATGTGAGCTTTTGGTTGGGACTAATTAATGCAATAGTATTAAAATTCGTTTGCATGCTCACATATTAATAGGAACGAATGTTAAAGATTACAATTTATGGAATAAAAAAAAGAAGCTTAATTTGTCAAACAAAATTCATGAACATGAGGACATGATAAGTGGAAGCACTAATGATGATGAATTTGCAATCATGTAATTTTATTTAAATTGCGTTAAGCTTTAAGGATTTTTCTGTGTACTTGAACATGATGGTTATGTTTTTCCAGGTGGCTTGCTTTTTAAATAAATCTTACTTTTAGGAGTCTTTCACAAATGACGTCCCAAGGCGAGTAAGAGATTTAAAACAGTAGAATTATAATGGAATCCAAACTAAGTAATTACAGCAATAATTTTTGACGAACTATCAGTTTTGCACTAATCAAAAAGCAATCCTAACCTAAAAAGTATTAGGGCTGTTTTTAAGGCTATTCAGACTTCCAAAGTTGAAATAGTGTAATTTTATTTTTTATCCAAATATAAACATATCGATTTTAGGGATTCTAGGTTAGGTAGCCACGTTAGCTCAAAGAACAGACCCAAGAATCGTAGTCTATTAAGGAATGCGAAGCTTTTGCCTTACAAGATTGAGCTTGAACTTACAAGATAGTATAGGAAAATTCTAATCTCATTCGAAAATTCAAACTTCTTGACTGGATCTCATAGCTCGAAGTCAACTCGAGATTTTCATCGATTTTGTTTGGCGGAATCAAGTCCAAGTCGACTCGACTCTATACATAATTTCATCAACATCAAGCTCTCCTGGATCTCCTTTAACAACAATCTATAACGTATGTCGCTGCATATCCTTCTAACCTACTGAAACATTAATAGAGATCACAACTTAAATCCAGTCCTTGCCATTCTATGAAACTCCTGCAAATGCTTATTAAAATCTTTTTAAGCCACTAGTATAGCACAAAACATCGCTTTAATTTACAATTTATAAGCTTTTGATGCAATTCTATCGCTCTGAACAGGTAATTCCAAAAACTCAACTTTTAAACCTCAAAATCTCTATTCATAAATTTTTCCTACATCCAAATTTCCTAACATCCTTTCATAATAATCTGAATGCTTCATACATGCATTGTCTCACTAGTGCACTTAAGTTCTCAAAACTACATCAATTTAATCCATTAAAAACATCATGAAGAATTTTCCATCGATTATTTAACCTTCCTCAAAAAGTTCAAAATTCAGGTAAATTTGCTTTTTCACACTTCATAATAACAGCTCATCTAAAATTACCTTTTCCATCAACTTTACTCTTTTCAGTAGTTTCGGTTCCTTTATTTATTGTTGGTTTTTTTTTTAAATTTTTATTTTTGTTCGTAACGGAAGCAATAAAAGTGTGAGAGAGAGAAAGAACAACAAGAAAAGAAGAAAAAGTTTAAAAACTTATTTTTTCAAGATGAGAAGCAAATAAAAAGAAAATTTTGTTCTCCTTATTTTATCAACTGTGCTATAAGGAATGAATCTTCTGCATGTCTCGACGTATAAAAAAGGTATTTTCATCACATTTGTCAGTTTATGGGGTTGTTCATAAATGATGCCAATCAAAAATTCGATCCTTCAATTTCTATGCAAAAAATTGCATGCAGCATCAGATTTCCTACTCCATTAAAGTTTGACATCATTTATGAACGATCCTTGTATGAGAAATTCCAAATTTTTTTCTTACCATTAATTTTGTAATTTGCAACAGTTGATATTGTTCCAAGCTCATTTGTCGCCTCACATTTATAATTTCCTTCGTGTTCTTCAGCTGGATGTGAAATCACTAATGTACCATTGTCATAAATGTGAACATGCTCGTTCTCATGTAGAGGCTGATTATTAAAGCTCCATGAAATATGCGGTTGGGGAATACCGGAAGCAATGCAGTGCATCACAATGAAATCGGCTTCATCGTTACTGTAGACATGGCCAGCGGGTACTTGCACAAATTGCGGTCTACTTGCTTCGTCTACACTTTCCTCATTTGTATTTGAACTTGTTCGAATAGTCATGCGAGCTTCCCTTGAGATTGATTCACCGATTGAATTTTTCGCCATACATGTGTAGATTCCTGCATAGAATAGAATGGATTTTTTTTGATATATATATATATAGGAACATAGATACAAGCTTATATGATAGTAGATTAAAAACAATTTCATGCTGAGAACGGAGATAGAAAATTTTTGAAATGAAAATGTACAGAAATAACAATATGCAGGATATTGTGGCATGCATACAGCACCTTCATAATATGAATGAATGTATAAATAAAATGCCCAAGTTAGGGAGCTTATATAACCAAAAATGTAAATCTATATTGATTTTTCCATTAACACACCTTGATCCCTTTCATCAATTCTATCAATTTGAAGCGTTCCGTCTGGAGAAATTCGAACTCTTGTATCATTTTCGGAATTAATTTCATTTGAATTTAACATCCATTTAATATCTGGAAGGGGATCACCATCGGCACTACATTTAAATACAGCATTTGAGCCGAAAACAACTTCAACATCATTCGGGTCTTGCAATATCTCTGGCTTCTCTGCGTATATGAACATGCATACAAGAAAAGTAATTAAATTAATTTTTATTTTATAAATAATTTATAAGGAACTAACTGCAATGCAATTCATCTTCATTCATTTCGAGTAGATTTTTTCCCTCCATTACTTTTGGTGATTTACAACTGGCGGATGCATTCAGATGATTCCTCGCTTGCTGTAAATGCTTCACAAGCCACATCATGGAGCAGTCACATTCTAATAAATTGCTATCTAGACGTAGCATTTTTAGTGAATTCATATTGTCGAATACGCCAAATGGGAGTTGTTGAATTTTATTTCCATACAAATGTCTATGGATAAAAAAGAATGCATAAGAATGAGAATTGAAATAGTTTTTTTTTTTATTATTTTGTGTGCTGCTCATTGTGGAAGAAAAAGTTCACTTCTCCACTAATTTACTCCAATTTTCAATGAAGACAAAAAAAAGGAGGGAAATGGAAATTATTTCTAAGTTAATTTAAATTGAATGAAGATAGTCAGATTTTGTGCTGGATATCCTCTCAAAATGTTCATGATTCTTTTTTATGAGACTGAACATTCACCAGTGGAGTACTGTACAGCAGACTTATTGGTTAAACATGCAAATTGTTGACGTTCACAGGTGGGACGAGTGCACTAAAAATTCATGTAGATTTCTTGTTGTTGTTGGGTTTTCAAGAGTTTTAAAATGTAAATTGTGTTGAGTTTGATTAGAATTTTGTGAATGTTGATGTTGGACATAGCATATTGTGATTTGTTTTTGGGGTTATTTGAAAAATATTTTAAGGTATTCAAATTGTATGGCCTTTTTTTTGAGTTGGCAACTTCACCAACTTTAGAGCATTCACATATAATAAGTGGGGAGTGGGGATCTTAAACAATAGAATTTCATGAATCATTTTTGAAACAAGTTTCTTATTGCGTTACATATTAATTGAATAGCCCCGTTAGAATCTAAAGTGAAAATTTCTGTGGCAACTTTAAATAGAGATCTTGCTGCTCTATTAAGTTTGTGTTCCATATTATCAAGACATAACAAAGCCTAGAAAGAAATTTGTACTCTTTAAAGAAATTAAAATCGAATCAAGCTAGTAGCCCTATACGAATTTCAATTTAGGTACGATTCTTTAAACCTCTTGTTTCCAAACTTGAATATTACAATTGGGGCCCGTCAAAAATAATAGGAATTTCAGTTTAACGGTTTAATAAAATTCAAAAATTTCACAGATTTTCGAGCAAAATTACCAAAACTTTAATCAGCTGAAAATCTAATTAATACTCGTGAATTTGTATCTTTAGCTCTTTTAAAACACAATATAGAACCTTAGAAACATACTATCGACATTTAAATATGAGCTGTATTACGTTTTAATTATGTTTTCAGCAATTTTCGAAAAAATAAAATTTTTTTGTTGACCAAAAACATACAAGAAAATTCAAAAAAATGATATTCGTTACGAGATTTTGAAACTTAAAGTGTTAATTTAAGTAACTTCCAATCATTGTATTGATAAAGATGATAATTTGAATGAACAAATAGAAGAAATAGCACAATTTGGTACAGAAAAACTAAAATTTAAGCTGGGAATAAAGAAGTTATTAAAGGTTGTTTACACTCAAAATACCCTTTCCCGAAAATTCTACGTCATCGGTGGGTATTCGAATGGCTCTACAGAAGGAACCAGACATGCTAGGAAAATGATAATGGTTTCAAACTCTTCGTCTCGGCGAATTCTATAATACCAATAAAGAACAAAATACAGTTTCATGGAAAAAAATCACAAAAAATGACTAAAAGTGGTCTCCGATGACGTAGAATTCATTTTTGACGGGCCCCAATTTGTTTTTGAATTCAAAGTCATGACTTCAAACTAGATTTTATGAAATCTGAACCAAAATTGAAATTTAATAAACTTTTGCTCAAAACGTCTAGTGCCATGGCAACCATAAACAATGATGCAGCAAATGGGGTGAGTAGGAACCAAAGCCATGACTCCGAGTGACTTTATATTTATGTCAAAATCTATATTTAAATTTCTTGGAAGCAATTTTTGTAAGCACCTCATAGTTAAGCATTCTTCATACCATAAATTGACTTTCTAAGTCTAGTCAAGCTCAAATATCTAGTTTGACAGCACAAACAAATAGATCCATATGAGAAAATATGCAAATTGTTCATGCAAATCGACCTACATTTTCGTAAAAAGACTTTTCCCATAAAACTACAAGTCCGTTTCAAACAAGTCAACAAAATTCCTCCCTTCCTCAATAAAAAAAGTTAAAAACTTCGAATTCGATTGCGATAGATTAATGCTAATGAGCTCTGATTGGAAAGCTTAGTGCAAATTTAGTCATCGTCGTTTTTGTGTCAAATGCAATTTAACAGAATTGCTGGTCTTTTAAAAAAACCCTTCTGAAGTAATTGTGGGAGAAAAATCCTCTTTTTTAGAGCATGTACACTCACACACATTAACATGCACGGATGAACTTAATTTGCTCCTTTTCACTCGACTTGAATTTGCAGAAAGTTTTTTTTCTTGTTATATCTTGCAGACTTGTTGTTATTATTTTCGTACATCTCTGGTTGTACGAGAATTCTGACAAATATTGACCGATAGAACTTTTTTATATCCTCCAGGAATTTTTAAGATGGAATAAAAAAAATTTTAATAACGTCGAGAACGTTTTTGTGGTAAAACAATTTGAAAATTCTTTTATTGCTCATGTTTATTGATTGGATTTCCTATTTGCACATTAATTTAATATTGCAATATTCTTTAGCAGCACACAGACACACAAACCCTATAAATATTGTTTCTGTTTTCTTGATATTTATGAAATATTTTCCTCTCAAAAAAATAAGTTTTAAAAGTTTTTATTTCGTAAAAGTTTCTTCAAGCCAAATTGAAACTTTGTCTGTTTAATGTCGCATCCTTTTAAAAGTACTTTTCAGACTGTTTTTCTTTTGAATATAAACAAAACTTGGCATTTTTAATGCTTATTTTGCGAATACTTGTTCATTTTTCAAAAATAAATGATACTTGAGCTTGTATAAAATTCATCCAAATCACGGTACAAGTTTTATTTTTGAATTAATCAAGGAGAATGAATAATCAGGATGTTCTCTTTGAAAAAATAAGTTTGAAATTATCAGGGCTTAGTTGAGGAATTTATTTTATAGAACGAAACATATTCTTGACCATAATTGCATCTAAAGTCATATTTAAACAATTACTTAGCCTATATCAGTGATTTTCTGCTTCATTCTAAACCGTTAATGCTTCATATATCTTCAGAAAGTTAAAATTAGTTTAATAATTAACGGAATTGCGTTTTAAACAGTCAGTTTTATATCTAGCAAAATGGGACTTCTTAATTTAAGCATTAAATGAACAGAAAACTCTTGAAAGTCCAGAAAAGTGCAATGAAGTCATATCTCAATGAGTCCTAATCCATCTCAAAACTGACCTAATTTTAAAATTCCTAATTGCTAGATGCATATATAAGTTTAAAATCTACTAATATTCCTCATATTCTACTTAAATTCTCCCCATTTGATCCAACAAAGCATCATCAATAATTCATAAGGGATTGTTCACTTATGACGTCCGAAATTAACGGTCAATTTTGAAAAAAGAACAATGGATTTCCTGGAATTTCTATTGTTCTTTTCTTGCTGACCCCCACCCCCCTGGACGTCATAAGTGAACGGCCCCTAAAAAGTTTTCTCCAAATAAATCCATTCATTGTAAATCACTGAGCATCAATACTTCCTTTTTGAAAAATCAACAAGTAAATTGAGATAATAGATTATAAAAGGAAGGAGAAAAATTACTTTAATCGTAAATCAATAAGCATATTTACGGAAAAGAGTTGAAGATTTCGAAATAATACAGTGTATAAAAAGGAAATAAACTTCCTTATGACTGCGCTCTTGAGCGCTTTCTTAAGTTCCTTCTTCTTCTTCTCCTTCTTTCCAATTTATTCAGTGCAGCCATAATTTTCTCATAACTTTTATGAAATAAAATTGAACATTTGAGGGAATTCATAAGCAACTTTTTACCTCTTGAACAAAAAAAATTGCAATTTTGCAAAAATGAACTCTTATGTCATGGCATTGTGCTGTTTCATGCTATTTATTGTTTATTGAGAGAAATGTGAAACAATAAAAATGAAACTTTTGGAACTAAAAATAACAAAAAGTTTTTACACCACTGAAGTTATTTTTTTTCATATCCAATTTATTTCTTTCGTATAAAATATTCATTGAAAATTTTACCACTTTACGGGATATTTGTAAACAATGGAATTAAGGGAATAGCTTTATTGTGAGCAAATATTGGATATGATGGATATTTTTTGAAATTTTCAGAGCGTATCAAAATTCACAGAGGCACAGTTCGCTAACTTCCGTTTGAAGCTCTGTTTTTAATTCTGGTTTCTAAAGCAACGATTTAAGGTAGCTTAAACTAGTCAGAGTAAAATTTTATTTAAATTTCATAATGGATATCATTGTTTTTAAACTTTTCTTCGAGAAGCTCTAATCCTGTGGACACTACATATAATACCTAATGAAAACAGCTAGACCTGGACATTAGCTCAGACAGCTTGACCTAGATTCAGGAAAACCTTAGATGTGGTACAACTGTGTCACAGAATGATGATACAAGAAATTACTGTCCATATTCAATTTAAGTTTTAGGAGCACCAGTTTGCCTTACAAAAGACTAAGCTCTGCTTAATGTTAACTAGTTCAAGGCTTAACTAGCTCTGATGCACATTAATCCACTCTTGAAGTATTGAAGCTTCATTATTTGAATCTGAATTTATCACCATCAATAAAAATTGACTTTGTGCATGCTTAATGAATTAAAAACTTGTTAAAAACCGAGAAGCTTTAAAAAAGTTCATGCTAATAATTTCCTATTTAAATGCTCAAATCCTTCTGGATTTTGAAATGTATTGTCAAAGTCACTGACAATTCAATGTTGATCTCAAATCATTAACCCAATTGACTATACATCACAATAGACATCATCCATTCATTGCCATTGTTTAACAGAAATCATTTCCTACCATTCAACAAAGTTTTCAGTCCATAAATTTCCCAATAAATATCCTCAATCTCCTTCATAGTTTGTTAATTCTAATTGAAATTCTCGTGCACATGAAAAGTCAAAAATGTAACAGCTGCATGCCCAAATATTTATTCACTTTTCAAAAACTCCATTTACCCAACATCAAAAAAATAAAATTTAAAATCCACAACTTGTGGCATTGCCGTATGAAGGAAATGAATTAAGAGTAGAATCAAGCAAAAGTTAGAACTTGAGGAAAATTGATTAAAAAATGAAACGATGCGAAAAAGCCAAAAGATCATAATTTAATTTAAATCATCATGTAGGATGCTGATGATGAGATACGTGTGTGTGTGTGTGAGGATGTTTTTATTGGAATGTGATAGGAATAGAAGAGAAAAATAAAGACTAAGGATTATAGTGAAAAAACGCAAAAACCACAATATGCACCCTCCTTCCCACAAAAGCATGATTCTACCTATCTTGAAAATTGAATTTCTTCGTTAGTTCCCTAAGCAGATTTTTAAGTGAAGCATCAACAATTCATGTTCACCGCAATCAAATAACGTAGATATATTTCATTCACTTCTCTTTTTGCTTTCTACAAGCATAACTTACAGTCTTTCCAATCTCACTAGATTGACAAATGCATCCGCTGCAACATTCCTTATGTGATTTTGATGAAGGTACAGATATCTCAATGCTGGTAGATTACTGAAAGCTTCCGACTGAATTGTTGTAATTTGATTTTCATTTAAGAAAATGGAATGTAGTTGCTTCATATCTTTGAATGCATTTGACGGCACTTCTTTCAGATGATTGAAACGAAGATCTCTGCAATGGAAAAAGAAAATAAAATAGAATAAAAAGCATTTAAGATTAAGCATTTTTAAAGGGGATTTCTTCTTTGTTCCTTTTGTTTTACTTTGAAATCCTTGAGAATTTCTTTGTTATTTTCTTTAAATTTTCTTCAAAAGTGTGTAATCAGCGACAATATAGAATTATGAAGAGCTTCTATTCATATGCAAGCACATATGCTTAACTCAGCAAATGTCATGAACTTTGAGTGGTTTTTCGAAATTTCCTTCCTTGAGATTTTCTTTTGTTTTGTGAAAAAGACTTGAAAATTTTTGTTGAATTGTCTTGAAAGTTTTCTAAAGGAGCTTTAAAGCAGGAGTGGTTTTTTAACGTCTATAGTTCTACTGTCATCTGGCCGGATCAAAAATTAATTTTTAAGAACCTGGCCTAATTCAACCTTTACAGGTCATGTGAGGCTGAAATTAAGCTTAATTTGATGCGTCTAGTGCAGTGATGGCCAACCCGTGTGCGTCGAAAAATTTAGGATATTCCACGAACCGTTTGTTGTGTGCAGTTTTGGTCATGGCTTAATGCCAAGTGTGCCGTGGCACAAAAATGGTTGGACACGACTGGTCTAGTGTATCTCTTATCTAGTTTCAGTCAAGAGTGTGTACTTGTCATTCGGGTATCTTTAGACGAGATCAAATATTAAAACAATGAAGCCACAAATACCTTCTTAACAACTCTGCAAAACAAAAGACATCCCATCGAGAACAAGCCACAGTTGGTAAAATGAAAATAATTTAAATTGATAAGAACTTTAACGTCCTTTTCGGAATTCGAGTCAGCATGTGGGATATTATTTAAAATTTTATGGACATCCTGTGTAATTTTTTTCCAACCGACCCTAACTTATGGAACTTTGAATGAAAATTTAACATGCAAGATGTGCCAAAAATGATCTAAAAATAACCAAAATTGCGTAGCAAGCATCATAATGACTTTACTCGTCTTGTTCTCTTCCGTCCATAAGAAGAAACATATTTTGCCAAAATGAACATCCGAGAGATGTCCAAATGTTTTTGAATTTTTTTATGATTTTGACGAGCACAAAAAAAAGTTGAAATATTTTTTTCTTATTTTTCATTTCAAATGACCAACTTTGCTGACGAGAATGGATGAAAGGATGTTTTTATGCTTTAATAGCTCACATCCCGAAGAAGCAAGATAACATTTCCTTTCATGCACATAAAGCCACAAAAAAATATATAGTTCATTCTTAAATAAGTTTTTTGTGATATAAGATAGAGCTGAGCTATTCAAAGTACACGGCACATAGGGAATAAAGATGTTTAAAAGCTAAAAAGTATAATGAATGTTTTTCCTTTTATTTCTAGGATAGGATGCACGAAGATGCATTAAAAAGTATTTTTTTTATATCCTGAAGCAAGGAACAGTACACAACATCGATATCCATTTAATGATCAAAACGAGTACTTTAGAGTAGGTAATTTATAAATAAAGAATGAAGTTTTGGGGTCGTGCATAAATAACGTTCATAATGGTTGGAAATTTGTAGATACTTTAGAACAGTGCAGCTTAAGATTTTCTAGTCTTTCACCAAAAGCATTCAGAAGTGGCACTTAATAAGCGATTCAATTGTGTCGATCTCAAAAAAGGACGTGAAGTGAGCAGGTAAGGAGTTAAAGCAATAATCAGACATCACGTAACTTCTATACTACCTAGACATCATTTGTAAACGGCTTCCTTCTTGCATACTTTTAAAATTTCGAACAAAATTACGATAAAATAATTGTACATAATTTGCCTTATGCCAAACATCCTTATAACTAGGTCCCTGACAGAAAAAGTTTCTTTCGAAAAAAAAATGTTCTATGACCTCACGACGAGCTAGAGATTATTCAGAAGAGCATTTTTAAACACAAAAAAAAATCAAAACTTTTACGTCCTCACATAAAAAGTATGACGATAAATTCCTTTAGTGCTCTTCTTCTTCCTGTTTCTCAAGTAGGCAGGATTTACGGAAAATTAAAGCATCGTCATTCTCCTATGACTGGCATGGAAAAGCTCTTCAACTCATACAGAAATATTTCCTCTTTCATTTGTATTCAATTCCATTCTTTTTGTAAATACTGAAAAAGGAAACGACTGCGAGTGAAGATTCATCATCAACAGTGACTACGTCGACGACAGTAGGCAGATGGATAGAGGGGAATTAATGAAGCTATGTAAACAAGTATGAGTTGTCATTAGAAGCAGGCAATGTGATGAAACGAAAGACTTTTTGGAGATGCGATGGACAGACTTTTTTGTCCTGATTAGTTTAATGAATTGGCATAATTTTGGGGTCTGGTGTCTGATTGTGATTTTAAAGTAATTGGATGGTAATTAATTATTTATTTTCAGGATGATTTGATTCTGCATATTCATCCTTGGCATGAATATTTTGGGGGAAATCCTCATTTGCAATTAATTAAGGACTTGATGACTCAATTGTCGAAACAGACCAAAGCTGTTGGGAATTGAACACAAATCTTCAGTTTTTGCTCACTTCTTACTCATTTTGGATACTAAGAACTAAGCAGCAGTAGACATTTCGAAGTGAATGGCAAGAAGCCGTAATTGTCGGACAGCTACCTCTTGGTTCTAAGTTTAATATGATGACTGCGTATTGCCTTAAATTAATTTTATTTGGCTACAGCATCCATTTATCTGCGCTGGTAGATTCGACTTTATATTCCTTAATACTGAATATTCCATTCTGCTTCGACATCACACTAATGAATTGCTTTAGAAACATTAGTTCCTCGCGCAACAACTCGACAGTCCCAAGACAGTCAAAGTAAAACGAAAAAAAAGACACACAATTTTATAAAATGTCATAAAAATACTTACAGTATAGTAGTCGTTTGTGCCGGCACTTCAGGGATAGATTTTAATTGTTGTCGAATGCATTTCACGATACTCTGTTGACACGTACACTTCTCGGGGCAACCAATTGCTTTTACATTATTATTATTATTCAACACAGTAATTGTGAGTAATGCAATTAGCACTGGATACAACCTTTTATTCATTTCATTCATTTTAATGGTTATTCTGTATGTCTGCCTTCACACCTCACTCACAGTGTATAATTTTCCACGCGAAAAATGAAGAAAAAATTATGTGAAGCAAGTCTATTTGTCGTTCCACTTATTTAATTCACAGTTTGATTTAATTAATTATGTTTGCTTAAATGAGTTGTTCATTTTTCACTGACTGGATATTTTTTTTATGTGTTCCAGATTCTAGTGTTGATATTTTGCATGTTCATTGCTGTGGCATTTTTATCTTTATTCAAAAAATTAACAAAAAATTGCGGTTTTTAAAAATGAAAAAATTTAATGCAATTTAATGGAATTGGATGTTCTGTTTTTAAAGGTTTGCTGTTTTTAAAATTTTAAATTCAGAAATAAATTGAATTTAGTTTTATTTAAATCAACTGATAGTTGGTAAGTTAATCCTTGTTAAAAGTACATAATTTAATTTATTTAACATTTGTAAAGTTATGCAAATTGATGATTGCTTTCAAATTCAATCAATCAATAATTAATGAACAAACTACATTGATCGATGCATTTTCAGCTTTCTGAGCTACAGCAGCTTGCAGTAAAATTCATAATATCCCGAGACAAAATTGCTGAAGATTGATAAGTCAATCAATCATGGAATCTTTAAGCCAGTGACTGAAACTGACCTAAGATATTTGAATTATTATTAAGTGAGTAGACAAGAATGTGTTTTGGGTGTTAGTCATTATTATTGACTCCTATAAACTTTCTTTCTGACTCAAAATTAATTATATCTACACAACTTAAGATGATTTGGCTAGTCAGCCTATCAATTAATAAAGTGCTTCTTACATTTTGATTCGCAATACATTTTGAGGTTATACTTCCCCAAAAAAAAAAATATTTATAGCAACGTCCTTGCCCCTCTACAGTCAAAATTTTACAGCCTTCTACAAATTAGAGAAAACTTATCACAGACAAAAATAAATTTCAACAAATCAATGCTAAGTTTTCATCTAGATTTTTAACACACAAACAATTCGTATCACTTGAAAATGCATGCACAATATCATAAATTTCATTTTAGTGGCTTCAACATACAGAAACATAAAGCATTTAATTTTTATTGCGTTCATAAAAAAAATGTTCATATAATACCACGAAGTTTTATAAAAATTGCAAGAGTTTGTCTTTCGCTTCTGGTAAAATAATAAAAAAAAAAATGAATTCGATCAATTTAATGTATATTTATGAGAGAATGTAGACAAAAAAGTTTTTGCATTAAATACACATTCAGATATTCGTGTGTGATTGCTTACTCAAATGTCAAATTCTCATCATTTAGTAATTTGCTACTTTCAATTTCGCACAACACATCAAAAAAAAATATATTTTTTTTAAACTAAATTTATAGCTACTCAATTGATTTGTATTTTATATGCGGGCGGCTTGACATTAAATGATTCATGAAAATGCTATCAATTCACATAAATCAAATTTCTTTTTTATGTATTATATATTTTTTTATGTCAATCTCCAATCGGGTAGATGGTGTGAGGAAGTAAAAGCATTGGCAGATTGTAAGATTATAACAGAGAAAAAAGATATCTTCACAACAACATCAACCCAGTGGAAATTCAATTTATTAAATCAGTTTTGTATGAGCGGTTCCAAGCATCTGTATTCTCTTTTGATAAATATCAGGGAAGTAAGCTATAAATTCATTTAACTAGTCTCTTATTTTTCTCATGTTACTGACGGAAACTTTTAATTTTATTACTGAAACTTTTGCTATGACAAGATTTTTTGCTGTAAAGTTCTTGCTTATTAATCCTGCTGTCATATTATTAGGAAATTCAAGAGGTGGAAGGAGGTCATCTAAGTGCTATTAGTAATATTCTTAGTTTAATAAGGATTGTTTGGAATCAAGGGTGATTTTTTGGGGATCAAAATATTTTGGTGTGTTTTCAGACATTCAAGCAAGCTCAATTCAATCAAAATCAAAATCAAAAAAACCTGTATCAAATGCATCAACAGCAGACTGCTAATGTAAGTTAAAACATGTAAAAAAGAAGTATTGATATGATGATACATGCTGAATATTATTGAAAAGAATCCTTTGATATTTTAAAATTTGATGCATCAAAGAAGTATGAATTACATATGATTTTTTTTGAAATTATATATCTTTCAAGGAAGAAGTTGCAACAGCATAAATCGCATTAAAATAATTCTCATCCGAAAACCCACCATTAATCCATTAAAAAATGCTTTAATGCAGAAAAGAATCATTTCACAATTCCATGCGTATCTGCTGAAAAAAAAAACCGTCTGAATATTCAGACAGTTGTCAACTGAATAACATCCACAAATCTTTTCCGACAGAACTTTTACCGCACGACACCAGATGTTTTCTTAAATTGAGCAATTTAATTAAAACCAAAAACGAAATTTATCTTTGATGTTTTAGCTTCAAATTAATCGTTTTTTAGAATCTTTTTAAAGCCAACTATCTTTTGGTAGGAATTTGTTGAAAATCACGTAGTTGCGAAATTTTGAATGGGGGTTGTTTGTCAGTAATGTTCAACTTTAGCTGTCCTTTGTTCAAGCTAGGCATTGTTCAAACTGAGTGTAGTTCAAGCTGAATATTAATCATGCTAAGTGTTGTTTAAGCTGAGCGTTGCTCAAACTGATTATTGTTCAAGCTGAGAATTATTCAAGTTGAGCGTCGTTCAAGTTAAGCGTTGTTTAAGCTGAGTATTGTTCAATTTGAGCGTCGTCCAAGCTGAGCATCATTCAAGCTAAGTGTTGTTCAAGCTGAGCGTTGCTCAAATAGATTATTGCTTATGCTAAGTGTTGTTCAAGCTGAGCGTCGGTCAAGTTAAGCGTTTTGCAAGCTGAGCGTCGTTCAAGATAAGCGTTTTTCAAGCTGAGCGTCGTTCAAGCTGAGCATTGTTTAAGCTGAACATTGTTCAAGCTGAGCGTCGTTTAAACAAAACGTTATTGAAGCTGAGCATTGCTCAAGCTGAGTATTGTTCAAATTAAGCATTGTTTAAGCTGTTCTTCGTCTAAGCAAAGCATTGTTAAAGCTGAGTATTTTTCAAGCTTCAACATCTCCCCCAAAAAACCCAAGCCCCTAATTTTAAAACTATACAGTCTTCAACATCTTCTTGTAGTATTTTCACATATTTATGTTTAAATCCTATTTCAAAGAGCTCTTTCCTGGTGTGACTTAACAAGATATTTTAGAAGCAGTTTTGAACAAAAATCGTGATTGATTGACGTGATTAAAACACATATTTTTACTACTGTGCACGAGCACATGAAAATACTAAAGATTTTTCTTGTTCATTTCCTTTCCATTTTAACAATTTTTCCTTCAAGAATGGGATGAAAGAAATATTTATAGGAATCGGGGAATAGAAAAGAAACATTTATAAATTGTAGGACATGAACATAAAAATCGTTTTCGGTTTAAAATTTATGGCCAATTTATGTTCGTTTACTGAGCTTTTTGTACGAGTACCGAATAATAAATTAATAGAAATTATCACTTTGTTATATGGAACACAAAAAAAAATTATTGCAATTGTCTTTTGATACCACAGTTTATGTTATGGCATGAGATGAAAACGCAAGCTACCCGCAAATAATGGGACGAACAGAGAAAAAAAATGGTAATGCGAATCATTTTTTAATTATGAGTTATTGTGCATGTTGTTTGTTGAGGATGGGCTGTGTCTTTAAAGTGTGATGAATTTTTTTTTTGGGAGTTTTCTCTAGAGATTGATTCATCCTTGACAGATCAAGTCGATTTATTGTATTAAAAAAAAGTTTCAGGGTTGAATGATGGACATGTCCCGAGCGGCACAAAGGCTCCATTTGCCTTCCATATGGAAGCTATACGGAGCCTCCATGTTCCACCCTCCATTTGAAAATCTTCCGAAAACCTTACTATCATGGAACTTTGACGGAGCCAAAGCTCCGAAAATCCTCCGTGGGACGTGCATTTATTAACACCAAATGGAAGTCATTTGAGAGGTTTTGATGGAGGATGGAGGATCCATTTGTGGTAGTCAAACGGAGGTTTAATGGAAGTATTTTTCAAAGGATTTTTGGTACGATTTTCCACGTGTTTTTCTATGTTTCGCAATTTTTATATCAAGATTTGTAGCTGTATTAGTGGACTTAATTAAAGTACACTAACACTATTGAAAAATTTACAACTTAATTTAATTAAGTCGCAACCACAGCAATTTCTAAGTCTCGATCACACGCGTGAGAAACATAAGAAATTATTAAAAATTTTCATACAAATTAAACGACCTCATATAATAGTGATTTCTGCATGCGCTTGTGAAGTATGTAATTTCATACAAAATCACAAAAAATTATCCTTTTTTGCTTTTTTAAAGCTTGAAATGAAGCAATATGATTCAGTAAAGCTTTTCGACAATATTTCAATCCATTACAGTAAGATCTGACCTCTGTCTTTTAAAAATTCAAAAGCACGAGTTTTTCGGTATTTGATTTAAGAAAAAGCGGAGTTCATATGGAATCCAAATGGAATCAATATGAAGGATGAAAAAATAACCCTCCATTTACTTCCCACATAGTGGAGGTGGCTTTCATATGGATTCCATATGGAGACCACCCTCCACCTTGTGCCGCTCGGGTGTGTCATTTAATTCTGTAAAAAATTATGTGGTAGATTGAAGCTATGAATTATTTTAGGTACTTAGAAGCCATGGGAGTTGAAACATGAATTTTTAAGGCTTAGATGCTGTTTATAAATGTCAATTAGTTCCATTTTTGAAATTGGGTCGTTTATAATTTTAGGGATTATAAATCTCAAAGGAATCTGCCCAGAAGCATAGCTGGGAGTGTAAAAAAGATGCATTTTTCACAACTTTGAAGCTTAAACGGTCCAAACAGGATAAAATTGCTCCAAAAAAATTTTCAAGACTGAATAATTTTTTTTTAGACAGTAAGCCTTAAAACTATCATAAACATTTAAAGTCAAGAATCCCCATTGCTTTCATGGTGACCTAGTAGCTCTACCCCGAGCGGCACAAGGTGGAGGGTGGTCTCCATATGGAATCCATATGAAAGCCACCTCCACTATGTGGGAAGTAAATGGAGGGTTATTTTTTCATCCTTCATATTGATTCCATTTGGATTCCATATGAACTCCGCTTTTTCTTAAATCAAATACCGAAAAACTCGTGCTTTTGAATTTTTAAAAGACAGAGGTCAGATCTTACTGTAATGGATTGAAATATTGTCGAAAAGCTTTACTGAATCATATTGCTTCATTTCAAGCTTTAAAAAAGCAAAAAAGGATAATTTTTTGTGATTTTGTATGAAATTACATACTTCACAAGCGCATGCAGAAATCACTATTAAAGGGGTCGTTTAATTTGTATGAAAATTTTTAATAATTTCTTATGTTTCTCGCGCGTGTGATCGAGACTTAGAAATTGCTGTGGTTGCGACTTAATTAAATTAAGTTGTAAATTTTTCAATAGTGTTAGTGTACTTTAATTAAGTCCACTAATACAGCTACAAATCTTGATATAAAAATTGCGAAACATAGAAAAACACGTGGAAAATCGTACCAAAAATCCTTTGAAAAATACTTCCATTAAACCTCCGTTTGACTACCACAAATGGATCCTCCATCCTCCATCAAAACCTCTCAAATGACTTCCATTTGGTGTTAATAAATGCACGTCCCACGGAGGATTTTCGGAGCTTTGGCTCCGTCAAAGTTCCATGATAGTAAGGTTTTCGGAAGATTTTCAAATGGAGGGTGGAACATGGAGGCTCCGTATAGCTTCCATATGGAAGGCAAATGGAGCCTTTGTGCCGCTCGGGTACATGGATGGAGACAACTGTTTCAGAAAAAATTGTGTCACAACAAGAATAAACAGGCACAAAAACACAAAAAAAGTCATAAAGTCATAGGACGATCATCCAAAAATATCATCAGTCATAAAGCTTCATCACAATACAAAAGACTGAGCCCCAACAAAAATTCCACCTACACAAAAAATGGAATCATGTCAGTGTCTAATTAAAAAATATCTAAAAAATTTCTCTCATTTCCCCACATATTCCTTTTAGATATCATTTTTGATTTAACTCTTAGTTCCTATGCTCCAAACCAAGCGTATGTTAATGTTTTTATCTCGGTACTTCCGCTTGATACTATGTGAGCTCTAGCCACTAAGAGAATTTTTCGTTGTCAAGCAAAGTTTAGAAAAACAGCACTGATAACGAAATCACTTAAAAAATATACATAATTAAATTATGGCTTTTTCTGCCAATTGCAAAAAAATAGCAACGAACATAAATTTTGTAGTTTCACTTATGCATTTTCATATCTCCTCGTCTGTTCCATTTCATAAATTGTTTCTGTTTCATATCGATTTGAAATTTATGTTTTTTTAATTTCTATAAAATGCACAAAATTGCAATGAAAAAAAAAATATGAACAACGGTTCTGCAAGCTGCTGCCACGCTGCTATATTAATCCTTCAATCAAACTATCAATTTCATCTCATTCGTTTCGAATGTGTCTCATTACTTTTTAATTCATCATCATCTCCCTCATCTCAAGCACTTACATTAAAAATTTAATTTAATTTATGATCACAAAAACAAAGTCTTTTACACAACAACACAACACAGCACAGATATGACACTTTATATCCACTACCCAACTACTATTCCGTCTGACTGTTTCAACCGGCGAAAGCATTCTGAAAATTTACGAGATGAATTTCTTCCTCGAAAAAAAATATATTTTGTATTCAGCATGAAAACGATAAAAGAACTGAAAATTGAGAGAATGAGCAGCATAGAATCTCTGAGAATTTTATGCTTATGATACTGCGCTAACTGTTGGAGACTCTCTGCAAATATGTTTATGTTTATTTCTATTCAATCGTTATGATTATTATGGAAGGTTCTTGATAATCTGTCAGAGATTAAATTCGATTAGTGTGAAATCAATTTTTCCTTAATTTTATGGGGGTCGTTTGTAAATGACGTCTTACAAAGCAATAAATTTTTTTGTGGATTATCAAGGTTTGGAATCAACGTCTACCTCTAGATCAGTGTTTCTCAAACTTTGCACTTAGATCTTCAATGTTCCTCGAAAATAGTGTCAATGGTGGTTACCAGAATAGCGTGGAAACATGAGTTGATGATTTACTGCTCCACGTCTTCAATAGTTTGAGAATCACTGCTCTACAACCCTTCCTGCTAATAATATTTTGAACATCATTTTCGAACTAACCCCATAACCGATAATCAAATTTTCTCAGATTTTCCATAAATTTTAATGGTTTGGATAGAATCCTGCCCAATGTTTACTGCTAAGCTCATGTAATATTTTCTGTCTAGTGCTGTCTACATGACATGACACATTTTTTGTAAATCAAAAAGAAATTTCAGCATGAAAGGAAATTTTTTGGCAAAACTATCACTAATGAAAATTAGGCAAATTGTAAAAGCTCTCCAGGGTAGATTGCAACCACTGTGTCGTCCGCTATGTGAGTGAAAAAAAATATGTAGGAAAGGGAAAAACTCAATCCTTTTTTTTGTGTAGCGAATGTATCATATCGTACTGTCAAAATTGTGTCGCATAAAATTACCGTTAAAAAGACATGAAGAAATCATTTGTCATGTGATCATTTGAAATGATTTTCTTGAATCATGTGGAATGAAAGTTCTCTTTCCTTTCCTTTTTATGCCTCATCATTTATGAGTTTTTATGCTCTCTTTCTTGAAATGATAAGCATTAAATTTTAGATTATTTAAGGGATGCATGCATATGAGTTGCCATTGGAATTTATTTTTTGTAGATCTCAGATTGTTTTGAAATTTGTCATAAATTTTGAGTCATAATTTCCTTAAACGAAAGTTAAAGTTGTAAATGAGAATTATTAAGTGTTTATAGGATCGTTATTTATTGCAATAAATCAAGTTTGCATGCAAGATTTTGCCTTTAAGAAATAAAGATAAAGGAAGTTCAGAAACAAGCCTATTTTATGTAAAAGTTCTAAAAATATTAATATTTTATGGTTTTTCCTTTCAGACTTACATTAGTGCATATTAAATGTCAATTACACATACCGTCTATCAAAAATATTATTTTTAGATCATATTCTAACGTCATACAATCTTTATTGCTAGATTCGTAACAGAAATAGCTTGATGTCGAAGTGTTCAACGTGTCTAGGGATTTAAGATTCAAAAGTCGAAAGCAAGGAGTGGAAACTATCCCAAATATCCTATCTCAAATATCCCAAATATTTCAAAAATATCCAAAATAATCCCTAAGACTGTATGCACGATATTTAAGATATCCCAACGAATCCTTAGTGTATTGGACATATAACTTTAGGATTTGATGGGATATCTCATTTTTAATCCATAAAAGCTCAGGGATTTATTTTAGATGTTTGGGATAATTGGGTTATTTGAGATAATTGGGATATTTGGATAGTTTTCACGCCTTTGCCGAAAAGGTTCTTTATCGTTTTTACAGTAAAAGAATTAAAAATCAAGCAGAATGCCTTTGATTTAAAGATTCTCAATAAAGTTCAAGTAGAGACTTCATTTCTGAGATTAAAAAATATGCTGATTGTTATCATAATTAGTCACATTTCAATGTTCAAGCTAGTGTTTTATGTCCTTATCATGTAATTATATTTACGACAAATAACGTGATAAAAAGCTTAAATCAACGACAAATACACTCGTGAAGATAGTAAGAATATCGACTTATCTTATCTAAAAATTAAAAACTAGATTAGTTCTCTGAAATTGCAACTTCCTCAATACTAATCATTAACTTCGTCTTATCTTTTACTTTATTTGCCACTTAATAAGCAAAAAAATTCGAAATTTACAAATAAAAATCATTAAAGCAGATTCAAGGATGCGGAACTGATAAATTACATTTTTTGATCATTTAATTGTTTCTGCACCCTTGGATTCAGTTTAATGTAGTCCATGTGATGAATAAATTACAAAATTGCAACCGAATGTCTGATTGAGCATCACACAAAATTTACAAGACAATGAACAACATAATACAAGTCATCTACGTCATCTATGAAAGGATAAACACACGTGTGTAAATGACTAACAGTCATAGTGACGTAGATTTACATTCTGACAAAAAATACATGACAATATATTAAGGTATTGCTATAAAATAAACCAGTTGTGCGGCGACACTTGCTAGTATGGATTTTTTATGTTCTAATTTTAAGCTTCTGAATAATTAATCAGCTTGTTGAAAAGGTTGCTTGATTGCTGAATTTCAACTTGGGAATGTCTTAACATTTGATTAATTTGGTTCTTAGACATGTGACTGAGTTTGTGGGTTGTCATGAGACTTTGGAGTGCCTCGATGTTAGGAATTTGGGTTTTTGGCAATGTTTTGAAGTTTATATAATGACTTTTGACCTGTCTTATGCTATTTGTCAGGTTTATTGAGATCTGAGACGAAAATCTAAGATGCACTCAGGATTAGACTTTTTAATATTGGGTAAATTCAGATGAACTTAAATTTTGTTCCAATATTAAAATATCAATGGAATAAAACTTTATTACATCAAATCAAGCATGCCATCACCTCAACATTGTGAATCACCTTAAACATCTATAACGTCAAAATAAATTTTAAAAACTTTTCTGCGTTTTGTGGATCATTAGTATACATTTGCATGGTTTCCTTCCTGATTAATTAAATTAAAATGATTTGTGATTTTAAAGTTTATTAAGGAAACTAAGTTGCTTGATAAACAAATCATTCCATCTGTCATTTTGTCACACAAAAAGTTTTTAATGTCAATTGTAACAATCATAAGAAAACAGCATCAAAATAATTCTTGGTCGAATAAGTTACAGAAATGTTTACAAGGAAAAACATTAAATAAGGTAGATAATGTCAATATAGGATGACAATCGCGCCTTAAAATTGTGTATGCTAGTGAATTAAATATCAATAATTGACTTTAAAATTGATAAAGGAAAAGATTTACAAAACATTTGAATAATATAAATCACAGTCTATAAAACTTTATAAATTGTGAATTTTACAAGGGTTTTTACAAGAAATTTTCAGCCATTGAATATTTTAAAATATAATACTACAACATTTTTAAAATTGAAGCTAGTTTTAACATTTTAGGCTTTAGGTAATGATAATTTAATAATATAAAGTTACTAGTTTGTCAAAAACATTAAGTTTATGGATAATGTATCGAGCAAGCGATTGCAATTGAATAAGGAAATTTTTGTTATTTTGGCATTTTTAATTCTCATTTAGAATTGATTAAATCATGATCAAAGAGTGATTACAAAACAAATTTGTCATGAATAATTGTTTCAAATTATTGTGGATCCCATAAAAGCATAAATTAGAGACAATTAAAAGGTTTTAATCAGTTTTTATGCTGTGCCATGTAGAAGAAAAAAAAATTATCAGTGTATTGCGATATAATGTATGTTGGACATTCTCTTATTGTATTGGTGCGTGATGGAATTGCCCAGTATGAAAAATGGCACTTTGAATGAACATTTTTCATTATTTGTGATTAAGAATCATAAGTTGTGACTTTAGTCATGGATTAATCATGCAAATTGCTTACGAATTAAGTTAGAATGTTAAGTGAATAAGCCAATATGTAATTATCTCATATACACCTTTAGAATTCTGCCTGGGTAATCGGTATGAAATTTTTTGGCGGACAATTGCGTCATCAACGGTTATGGGATTAGAATAGAATGAAAAAGTATTTTTTTTTTCGAAAAAAAAAAACTATATGTATGAGATGTATGAGAGAAAAGGCAGTGTTTACTCATCGACTATTTTTCTATTGGTTTATTGTAGCTTTTTTTGACAGCAACAACATCCAGACGAGGAGAGAAGACAAAAAGAAACATTTAGGCTCAATAGTTTTTATTTATTAATTATTTTTAATGAAGCTTCGGCAATGACTACTGTACAGCAATATTGTTTAAGGTAATACAGTCAAGAGACATTAATTTAGTAAATTGGATTATAAAAATTAATAATTTATTAAAAATGCTTTATTAGGTGGAACAACCATCAGCCGAACTTCATTAGTGTATTCTCGTCGCTCTTGTTGAACGAAACGTTAGTAGATGTAACATTAGCGGCAGAAGGTCGCCAATTACAGGCGCACAAAGTTGTCTTATCAGCATGTAGTTCTTATTTTCAGGTTTGTTTTAATACTATTATTTTTTTGTTTTCCGCCATCGCAGCAAATTTTTGTGAGAGATTCTAATCATATCCATTATTCATTAATAAACAGTCATTATTTACAACGAATCCTTGTAAACATCCGATTGTAATTCTAAAGGATGTTCAGTACAACGATCTTAAAACAATGGTGGATTTTATGTATTATGGTGAAGTGAATGTATCAACAGAGCAATTACCACAAATACTAAAAACAGCTGAAATGCTAAAAATTAAAGGACTAGCCGAAATGCCAGATGCAGCATCTGTCACAAAATCGGATAGTAAGTCAAGTGATCATACGGATGGAAATCAATCAATTAGCGGCGTAGAATCAATGTGGGGCAGTACAGAATCTCAACAACAGGCTCAACAGCAGCAATATCATACGATTCGACGTACACCTTCCCCATCAAATATGTCACCAGCAACGCGAAGGAAACGGTTACGCAAAACATCGACAGGCTCAGGATCGATAAATATTTCGGCGTCAATTGAGAGAATTCAAGATGAGCAGCATCAACAGCAGATCCAGCATCAACAGCAAACCACAATGGATGGTAGGATGATGCAGAAATATTCACAGCAGCAATCAATTGATGTCCCATTGTCAACATTTTCAGCCGTATCGCAAACGGGAGCAATTGCAAATGTGCGAGGTATGAAAATTAATTCTAGTCCTGAAAATCAAATGCAGCATCAACAAGATCCGCATGAACACATTGATGAGTCACAACATATAACTGAAATGGTAAGAGTCCTGCAAAACTGAGTATTAATTGAGGAACTAATGTTTATATTATTTTTTTGTGTATGTCCAGAAAACTGAGGACTTAAGTTGTGTGAATCAATCAATGCCATTAGATATTTCAACAGGAACATCTACAACTCCTGTTAGTTGTCCACCTACTCAACAACATAGCGGTGAGTAGTCACATTGTGTGTCCTTACATTCTTACATTATTGCTTTTCTTTTGCTTGCTACATAGTATATAGTTATAAATTCATTATTGACATAAAGTAATATATTTAAAAAAAAAACAATTTAATGAACCCAAATTTGAGACTGTTCAGAGATTTAGTCATTTAAGTATAAATTTTAAGTATAAGCGTAAATGCAGTGAAGAATGTGCAACTGCAAGCCCATATCAGAGCGAATGAAAAAGAACTCAGATCTCTCAGACAAAAAATAATAAAATTAAAAAAATTATTTGTATTACTTTTATATCATCCATGAAAAAAAAATGTGCTTGTTATCTGTAAGGAATTGAAATATGTTTTTATTTTGTTAATCGACCCGAACCAAAGAATAATAATAAGAATAAACAAAAGAAAAGTGTGATTAGAATTGCCCAGAAGAAAAATATTGAGAATTTTAAAAAATGAGAGAGAAATTTTTTTGTGTGTTGCTGTCAACAAAAGCCATAAAAGACATATGAATGAACCAAATTTTTTTTATGTTTTAGTTAAACTTTCTCCCAAAAGTCCGCTATTATAAAACGAAGAACCTTTTGTCACGAACTTTATAAATTATTATTTACTTCCATTGAATCAATTATTTATTTTTGATGGCTGTATATATATATTTTTTTTTGTCCAAATGTTAAGCTACTGAAAGGAATCGATGCGGTTTGAACTATCCCAAATTCCACACATTTCCATATGATCGTTCTTAACCGACTATGGGGTGTTCAATGCATCATTTATTCACTGCATCATTTTTTTTTGAAACTTAGATCTGTTTTTTTGTAAAAAAGAAATGAATAATAGAGATTTGAGTAGACATTATTAATTTTTTATCGTTTTTTGCAAGTCAAAAATTTTGTTATTCTTTTGTATTTAATTTAATTATGCCAAACATATGAAACAAACAATTATAAAACTTGATAAGAAGTTTCTTTTTGTACAAAAAAAAAATTAATTAGCGTAATGCGAAAAAAAGCCTCCAAAAAATATTCTTTCTCATTTTTTATTATTCTCTCTATCCTCTCAGGTGGGCAATGGGCAGTAATCGATACAAATTATTCACGCTTTGCTCTGACAACATCTGCTGCTGCATTACCAACAAGCACTGTTCAACATAGTGCTGCACATCACCATCATCATCATCACCATGAAGGAAACATTGCTACGGCGCAATCGGGCGCTCAAAGTGTTGGTCATGGAAATGATAATATGTCACTTGGATCAAATCATAGTTCGAGTCATGGCAGCAATAATTCAAATTCTAATAATAATGCAACTATTCAATCACAGAATTCAACACCAGTACAGTTACAATATCAGACAACATATTCACCACAAATAATTGCTGTAAATCCAAACAATATTGTCAACAATTATCCACCGAGCATATCTACACCAAACAGTCCATTAGTGCAATCTGTCTACAGCCAACAAAGCACGCCCATACAATCGCCTGTGAATATACAAAACTCAACAAATGATGCGAGTACTAGTGCGAGTAATAACAATAGTGTGAATGCTAATTCATCATCGGGATCAATTAATACTGCTGCACCACCAAAAAGAAAACGATCCGTGAATCCGCAAGGCGAGGAGAACTTTTTGCGGGCACTCGATGCTGTGCGCTTTGGAGGAATCGGATTTTGCAAGGAAAGTAGATACATCAATCGACACAATTCAATAATATTATTATTGTTTTAACGGCATGACGTTCTTAATTAATTTATTTGAGAGCTTACATATGTTTCTATTGATTCTATTACTTATTCACGAGATGTGAACAAGTTTTTTTTTTGAACTGAAATGATGATTCAGTGTTCTGACATTCCGATCTTTTGACTCTTCTCTTTGTGCATTTCGATAATGCCATTGTTTACGGTTATTTTCGTCAAATTGGCTGTATCTTTCAAGGCTGCTTATGAAGATGTAGACTTATTTTTGTTTCTTGAACAGTACTTGTTGAACATTAAGCTTTCAAGTTGATTCATATTGTTCATAGAAGTGAATAGTTCAGATTCAGAGGTCTAGTATCAATTTAGATGCTAATACGGATTTTCATCGTGTTTGTTGCTCAATAAACAACTTGGTTTTAATTCCATAACAATTACCGATGGACATGATACTACATTTGAACTTGTACACTTCTTAAAGTCTAGACTTCTTTGAATTCTGTGGCTTGAATGCTGCAAAATCAACCTGATGCTAATCAAGCTTTGTCAAGTACAGCAAAAGTAAATTCTAATGCGTTCAATCCCCTGAAATTCATCTTTCTTACTTCGTTGAAGAAAGCTCTATTCTTCAAAACCTTTTGTCAGTTCAGTAAGGCTTTCATCTTATTTGATGAAAATAAAGTGGAATAAACAAAATAGTCAAGCATAAAAAGTCAAAGTATTAAAACCCAATATCACACACCATCCAAACCTTTACAATATTCAAAAACTGATGAAAATCCCCAACACTTGATTTATCAAAAGCATTTAAACTTCTAGTTCCAATATTCCTGTTTTATTTATTCAAAATTCTAATGAAATGACAAAATCGGAATAATTTATTAAACTGAACTAAATGAACTCTCACAACTTTATTGGATATTCAAATATTTTTCGTAAATCCTCTTCAGATCACATTTCAAATATGTTATAGACAGGGTGGTTAAAAATAGAATCTGGCCTTTTTTAAAAATATGTTCACCTATGTTCACGTGTACAATGTGTGGCAGAATTCATATGTTGGCAGATAATATATGTCACACATTGCATATGTGTGCATACGTGATGTGTGTACATATTTGATGTGTGACACATTATTTTGTGTCACATATGAAAATGTGTGATGTGTGACACATATTTATGTGTGTAGATATCATGTGTAAACATGCAAAATCTGCACATATTTATTAATTTGCAGGACTAAAGTGGTATTTTTTTGTTGAATTTATTAAAAAAATTATTGATATATAACCAAAACAGTCAAATACTGCATAAAAGAGTTAATTTTGTCGAAAATATGTTCATCAAACTGTAATTTTAAACTAATTTGACTTTATTTGTTGGAGAAATGAAGATTAAACTAAGAATGATGAGCTTCAAATCTTTAATAGTTAAACTCATGTCCCTTAATCACTTGTAAATCAATTTTTAGTCAAGTTTTCCGAAAATAAAGTCAAATTAGTTTAAAACTACAGTTTGATGAACATATTTTCGACAAAATTAACTCTTTTATGCAGTGTTTGACTGTTTTGGTTATATATCAAAATTTTTTTAAATAAATTTTACAAAAAAATACCACTTTAGTCCTGCAAATTAATAAATATGTGCAGATTTTGCATGTTTACGCATGATATCTACACACATAAATGCGTGTCACACATTTTCATATGTGAGACAAAATAATGTGTCACACATCAAATATGTGCACACATCACACATAATATATGTACACATATGCAATGTGTGACATATATTATCTGCCAACATATAAATTCTGCCACACATTGTACACGTAAACATGCAAAATGTGTTGGATATGTGTACATATTCTAGAAAATAGAATATGTTTTAACAACCCTGGTTATAGATATCCGTAAAGATACACAAAAATGCTCTCGTATAATTTCTGTTATTTTGTTATTTTTTTCGCATACAAAATGCGGAATTAATAATTTTATTTTTTTGATAATCGTGCACAAAAATAAATAAGAATTTAAATATAATAAACAGGCTGCGAGACTTTATGGCGTCAACAATCGAACATTATGGTTAGAGTTTAAGAAACGAGGATATCCAATTAGTCGACCAAGTATCAAGAGCAGAATAAAAACAGAACCCAATATGAGTCCCCCGCCATCAGCGTCAACGCCTAGTGCCGAAGAAAATACAATGGAGAATTATGAATCAAATATACAGCAACCAATGGCAGGACCATCATCATCAGAAGCATCAAACACACCAATTATGTGTCCACCCCATCATCCAGCAATGGGTGTTATGGGATTTCTAGATACTCGACATGTTGACTTTTCAGCAGCTGGACTACATCAAATGTCACGCCAGCGATACGCTGATGGATCGACTGCTGTAAACATTAATCCTAGCTCCGTGAATATGCAGAGCATTAACTTCAATTCCATTTAGATGATGTTGATTATAATTGGAAATTAAATGCTGTTTTTTATCGCCATGATTTTTAAGTTCAAATGTTAATGGGTTATTAATGAAAAAATTACAAGAAATTTTTTATTATTATTACTATTATTATGATTATTACAAAGTAAAAATTATTATAATTAATAAATAATATGATAATTGAGATGATTGACACACAGGACAGATTGATTCGAGACTAGGAGCATTGGTGGGTCAATATTAGATGGAGGATATTGTGGAAATTTAATGGATATTAAATGTGTATGAGCTGCAATTGTTTGGAGAAGATTCTTAAATTTTATTATAAATTTGGGTTAAACTATGATCAGTTCTGATATCAAAGATCTCAGATTTAAGATCAAGACTGTGAATATGTTCAGAATGAGTCATTCTAAATCTATTTTAAGTATTCTTATGAATATCCTTGAACTTACAGCAAGAGTTTTCAAACTTAGCTCCACAGAGCACTTCTGTAATGTAATCCTAGAACTAGCTACTATGGTGCAGAAAGATAAATGCTAGATTAACTGTTCAGCAGTCTGAAACCTTTAAAATACAATGTCTTAGAGAAATAATTACAAATTTAGAATATTTTCAAATGGTTGCAGATTACATACACACAAACAAGGGTTTTTGGCGCCAAAAAAATGTTGGTATACTTACAGGAAGATTTTCCACCAAATTCATAAATATTGACCCCCAATGACTACGAAATTAGAAGCATAAAATTGTTGATAAAAAAATGTGAATTTTTAATTCTTCTCTTCTTATAGTTTGGAGATTAACAGAAGAATAATAATTTTATTTCAAAGCAAGGATGTAGGAATCAATAAAAGGAGATTTTTTTATGTTAAAAACAAAAACACAGACACACATATTAAAAGAAATTGCGTATCCATACGATATTTCTTTATACTTAAGCCAATAATAAAAGAAAAATCATAAAACGAGATGATAATGTGTAAATATTATAAAAGAAACTGACTTAAAACCCGCTAAAAATATTTTTTGATTATTATAATTTGTTAAATGTAAACACACAAAAAAAAACACGCAAAAGAAGAATCAAACAAAGCTTTTTCTTGTGCGATCATGTGCTTCTTTTTATGATAGTTCTTTTTCATTTGTAAATATGATATGTAATAGAAAATTGATACACAAGCCATATATAAATACATTATAAATATGAAAGAAAGCATTCAAAGTGAACAAATTGAGGAAAAAAATGAGATAAAAATAAGTGTAGAAAAAAAAGATGAAAAAAAAACTTAACTAAATGTTGGTAGATTTTTAATAAACATTAATAAATCATAAATTTCCTTTCGTTTTTTGTCGGTGGTGATCATACGGCGTATGGAAAGAATGAAAAATAAATGAATTCAGACGAGCGATGAAAAATATGTAATGACGAAAAGTGTAGAAAATTATAAGTCGGGGATTTTTAATTTTTAATCTACTGGATTTATGTGAGGAAGAAGATAGCTAGTTGAATTTTAGCCATGAAGAAAAAAACTTTCGGAAATTTAAGTCACAAGAGTTTTTAAGCTGTAACCTGCAATTTTAGAATTTAAGCATTTATCTAAGATGATACCCGAATTGCAAAAAACGGTTAATCGAATAGAAATCCGGTCAAGTTCTATCCAGTACCACGCCATAGTCACACCAGCTCTGTACCTGATTTCTGATTGATTAACCGACTTGTGCCATTCGGAATGTTATTTTAGATCACTGGAGGTTTAGATAATTGCAAAAATCCGATAAACTTACTTTCTGGATTAATCAAAAGAAAATTTCAAGAACCAAACAAAAAATTCCAGGACTTCAAGATTAATTAATGATCCTACGGAATTTTCGTATTAGATAACGAAAAGCTTAACAATTTTTCTAGGAATCGAGAACTCGTGTCCAAAAAAATTCTTCTAGAGTGAAGTTCAAGCGTATGGAACTGATTAATTACATTTTGATCAATTTTGATCATTTAATCAGTTCCGCACCCTTGGCGCTGACGATAGATTCTCTGTTGATAAGATCAATGATATCAAAAAGTCTGTAAAATTTTTCAAACTCTATAAGAACTTTAGGAAAATATGAACTTTTTATCGTTTGACAAGCTCAAGTTCAAAGCTTCATAAGTTTAAAGAAGTCGATAAGAACAAATAGAATTTTTCATAAGCTAATTGTGCCATTCAAAAGAATCTTCTGACAACTGTTGATTAAGAATCAGTTCAAAATTATTAAATGCTCTTGTTTTTTGTAAAGCACATTTAAATACTATTGAGAACGAATGTTTAAGACAAGAAAAACTGAACAAAATCTTCCCTCAGATTTTTATCAAGCATTAAATAAAGCCTCTAGTCTTTCAGTAAGCAGGGCTAATTGCATATCACAATTATGGATCTCGGGTATGGCTAGTGAACTTAAAGACTATGCTTTCATTTGCAAGATTAACAGTAGAATTCTAAGACGTTCTATTGTTTTGGTCTATATTTCCTTTCTTCGACCCTATCTAGATGTGAGATGCAAGATACTCCTTAGTACAATTCTATTTTATTAGATGTTGCTAGGAAAACTTCCCTTTTCACTCCTACTTAACAATTAGAGCATTCATATTTCCAGCAGACAAATGAACAACTCCTGACCAAAAATCTATAATTCTACCAAATAAAAGAGCTCCCAATTAAACGAATAATCCAGGATTAAGAGTCATTAAAATCACTTAATTCTGTCCTTGAATTTCATTCCCCACTGACTTCCTCAATGGTGATTACGATAAAAAGTTTTAAATCCCTGACTTAACAAAACACTTCAGAGCAGCATGATTTAATCAATTTTTAAGGCATTTAAATTGAAAAAGCGTCATCAAAAATCATTCATCACATTACTTCACTGATGTATATGAGACATAATCCCCTTTTAGAACTTTTTTAATTCTCTTCATTATTTTTTACGTCTATATTTCTCTGTTTACTTCCTATTCCTACTATCTTCTTTTATACTTTCCCTTTAATTTTTCTCTTAAATGTTCTAGATAATAAAAATAAAATAATATTTTGGTGATATTTTAACTAAAAAAAGAAATGAAATGAAATTACCCAGTAATAAAGTTAAGATCCGGACGATACAAAAAAAAAAATGGAAATGACAGTGACATCCTGTCTTCTTTGTTTATTTGTATTGTCCTGAGGAAATTATGAATTTTTTTTTGTTAATATAAAAAAGAAAAAAAAAGTTTTCAAGTCAAAACTCACAATTGTAAGGACCCTTACATTTTATGACATAAAAGGGGCAGAACTACCTAAGATTTTATCACACAACTTTGTACATCGTCAATTTTTTCTATACATTTAAAGTAACAACCAAGAATCGACAGCAAAAAAATGCACTTGTTTGATACATCAGCCTGAATTATAGAGTAATACAGCTACTTTCATTATTAATAATTGAAATATTCAAATTGAATTTACTAAAAGAATTAAAACAAAATGCAAATTTCTTTATTTATTGACCGTTATGGATGCCTCAGATCATGAGTGCACCATTCTCTTTCCTTAAACACATATTATACATTGTTAATTTAAACTTACTCTTTCCTATATACCTCAATAATATAGATTGCAAGAATTAATTAAAATAATTTGTTTCAAGAGATAATCTTGAGCTGGGCATGACAAGGTAGTGGATGTTTTGGTGTTTTGTTGGTGAATCAGCTATGAATAGATGGGCAATTTACTGATATTTATTAATATAAGTTTGGCAACTTCAAAATTTACTACTAGGTCCGTTATTGTTGAGTTTTAACCTTACAGAATTAAGCTTATTATCTCGGTTGACACAAAGCATTCATTAGTACTAGGTTAGAATCCTTACGAAGTACAATCTATAATCTTCAAAATGGAGCTATTGTGTCACTCTGGAGGTTGTCTATGTTGCTTCTGAAATGTTATCAGGTAGTAGCACTTACAAGACAAGATAGATATAATTTTCAAGATTAAGCAAAAATAGATCAAAACTTGATAATCTGCTAAAGACTCATTCAAATATGACGTTGACAAAAAAATAGAATATTCAGACTTCCCACTTGTTACAATTATTTTTTGTGTGAAAATGTCACATACAACTTCTGACCCATCTCTCAAAAATTAGTCATCATCAAATATCCCTAATCTACCCTAATCTTAACTTTCCAATTCTCACCCCTAAACTGCTCAAAACTCCACTCATCTGTCATGTTCTGCTCGGTAAATCAATAAAAATATTTAAAAAAAAGAAAACAGGAGGTAATCAAAATGTAATTGTTATCGATTAATTAAAGTTCTTTCATCATTATTATTTTTCTCTTTATTAAAACCAACAAAACGACAACCAGAAATAGACTCTTTTTTTATGGATATTAATGATCAATAACCCAAAATTTTATTGCTAAATAAATTAAGATGATCTTCATCGATTCACAAAAACACACATACACACAAACTTGAAAATCACATACACTGAGACACTAAAAAGAAGAGAGAGCATGTATAAAATAATTTTAATGAGAAGAAAAATTAAAGAAAAAATTGGAAAATTTGAAAGAAAAAAAAATGATGAAAAATAGAAGTCGAAGCCCATTTTAAGGAAATAAATAAAAATATGAAAAAATTTAAAAATCTGACAGTCTTTTTGGGTTCATTTGCATGCGATCAAGTGTGATTTTTGACCTAAATTGTTGTGGTTTTGTGGATATTTGAGCTTTTTGTAGAGAATTATTTTAAACTCTGAATCTTCGAGGAGACACTAGACTTTACAAGACATTAAAGCCTAGCAGTCATTTAGATATTTGTCATATCATGGATTAGAAAGTCAATAATTCTAAAGTCCAAGTAAAAATATTTATAAAGCTTCAAATGACCATCAAAAAAAACAGCAAAAAACGCCATAAAATCACACCCAAAATTTTTTAATCCCCATCCATAAACTTCTATAAATTAACATGTAAATTCCTAATTTATTCAATCACAGCTCAACAATCAGAATTGCTCTTTACATCGTGTTCATCAATATCATCACCATCGTCGCCAATATCGTTAAGTCTCTCATCACCAGCGATAATTACAGCGACAACAACAAATGTAGTGGTAGGTGCAAATAATAACAACAACAATAATAACAATACTTTAAGTAATTTGAGTGCGGCAAGTAAACGAGGACGCTTATTAATTCGTCAACAAAGAATTAAGAAGGATGGAGATCAGACGGGTGATTTAGAGACACCGGAAGCGGGAATATATCAAGAATATTTACTGTCAGTGCCATCGTCAGGAGCAAGAATGGAGAGACATGCATCAGAACCATCGCCAGCAACTTCATCTGGTCTCATCACGACATCATCGTCAAGTTCTGTATCTGGAAATCTTCTATCAGTTCCAACACACACGTCATATTTGATAAAACAACATTCACATCCATTGCTGCCAAGTCAATCGTCATCGCCTAGTACATCATACACGCTCACTCGTCAGCTCTCTCATCCGATTCAGACAATTTCTCACCAATCATCCCAAATTGTGAGTACAGTGACATCGCATGGAGGACATGACATTGGGCACAGTGGACAATTACTTCAAATGCATCATCATAAATCAGCACCTGTTAGAAGTCAAACATTGCCTCACTATACAGTCACTGATATGGACTTTAGTAGTGGAAATGAAAAAGCTCAATCGTCATCAAATATGACACATAGTCCCACAGTAGTGATCATTCCCGACGATCATACGACAACTGTAGTACAATCACATATACCGTCACAACATACTTTATATCAAAAATCATCATCACATCATCATCTTCAGTTGCCATCGATTCGTGTCAAGTCTGAAGAGCTTCAGAGAAGTATCTCGTCACCGCTGGTAGGATTAATATTATTTTTTTGGAAATTGTCTTGATGGTTATGGGATTTTTTGTTGCTTTATTACAGTCATCGACGCGAAGTGATTTATCTTTTGAGACGACAACGAGATCCAGTCATTGTCCAACATTACGAGCTGGTAAGTTAATGGTTACTGTTGCTCACTGTAGAATATAATGGGATGAGAACGCAGATAGCCTCGTATCCTTTGCTTATTGAACATACCACCCAATATGCAGCCATTCCCACCCCAAAAATAATTGAAATGTCAATAAACTTCAACGTCAATTTCATTATACTCTTTCCATATCCAGGACCAGCGTTAGGTTGTAACTTCTGTTGGAATACAATCGATGCACATGGTAGAATTTTACGACGTAAAACAAAGTAAGTAATTGGAAGACATGTGATGAATATGAAAATTGCATGTTCGTAACAGTCAGTAATAAACATGAATATTTTATCTGTCCATTCCATCCAGATACCATTGTCCAGAATGTCAAACGAATTTATGTATTGTACCATGCTTTCAAGAATATCACGAAAGGCAGTCAAATGAAGGAAGCAATGAAACAAGTTCAACAAAATCTAGTGGCTTAAAAAGTCTCAAATCATCTCAAACCATGTAAGTGAACGTCCGTGAAATTTTTTTGAGTCAGTGCCCTAATATACTTTAAATTTCGAAATTTTTATCTTGGCAATTTAGATAAATGAATTTAAATTGAACTTAATTTGGACCTTCAAGTTAGTGGCAACGTATTTTTAGTGTTGCATGACATATGAGTATATTAGATAAATTGCTTGAAAGTATTTTTGGGAAGGGATGTCACATCACATCAATTTTGACACTTCCTGTTATCATACATCCTTTATATGAGGGCGAATATACACATTGATTGTATGTTCTTGTTCCGTCATAAACATGAACCTTTGGTAACAAATTTCACAGGATATTAATTGTGATTTTTGTCGACAATTTGTTAAATGATAAAAACTATTGTTTTTTTGGAAAAAAAAAATTAAATTAATAAAATTTTTGTTGTAAAATTTTTTGTATGCAAATTCTTGGTGCATACAAATTTTTTTGATGTACAATTTCTTATGTATAAGAAATAAGGATGAAGAAGTTAAGAAGAAACGTTGTTTTAAGTGTAAATTAAAATTTCTTTGATGTAATTTGTAAGATGAGGTTGATGAGATAAACAAACAATTTCTTTCTACCACCATTTGTCTAATTTTCATGATTAAAAGTGAAAATTTATTTGTGTAAACAATTAGGGATTGGAAGTTGGTTTTGAATTGGATGGAATTTTCAAAGTTTTAGTTTGAATTGATAAGAAATTCATTGAATCTTCTTTAAAAAATTATTGTTTATAAATCTTCATATTTAAATTTGTAATAATCGAATTCTTTGCATTGAATTTAATCTAAAAATCATTTCAAAAATTCTTAATTGAATTTTTCATTTTACATTTCGTTGTTTTTAGCAAAGATTTAGTTCATCTCAAGATTTTAAAAATTGAAATATTAAGTTTTTACAAAAAACTAGTCTTCAATCGTTAATGAATCAATTCTTGCTCAATCCCTTGCATTTATGCTTAACAAAAGCATCTTTCAAATGAAAACGAAACTTCAAAAGATTTATTTAAAATCTTATTTCAATTTTTAGCTTTTTAAACATCAAAATTAAGTTTTAACAATGTATTTCAAGATTAAACCAACCGACAAATTAAAATTAATTTATAATCAACGTTAAACTTATATAAAGAGATTTCATTTTAACATTCAAATTTTTTCAAACAATATACTTGGGCTTTGTTATTGAAATCATTTCAGGATCAAATGTTTAAAAAATGAATTCACAGTCAATTGTGAAATTGAATTCTTTACAGTTAATTAATTGAAGCAAGTTTTAAATTCAATTTAAAGCAGAACAACGTTTAAAGTTTTAGAGATCTATCCTTTTAAAATATTCTTTGTATTTAAAACAAAATATTAAACTTGTAAATTGAAAGTCTGAAATCAAAACTTTTAGAATCAAATCAAAACTTTGAAAAATTCCAAAAAATCAAAATCAATTCCAAAACCTTAAAAACTTTATATGTGAATGCATTAAAAGTGGTATAAATTTTTTTGGATAGGGAAATTTTTCCTTCAATCTACTTTTTCATGACTTTAAAAAAAGTCAGATAGATGAAAGAATATTTCAGCGGAAATGCTTACATTCAATTTTTGCTTAAACCCTTCACACACACACACATTTATAGAAGCAGATAAAAAACATAATTAAGAATAATGATGATGAAACAAATAAAAAATTTATGAAAACTACACACAAAATGCAGGAAAATTTTTATCTAAATGACAAAAAAAGATGATGATAAAAATATATTTTTGACAAATGAAGAGAAATGAAAACGTAAAACATACATAAAAATATTTTTTGATGATGTAAACATTTTCTTTAATAGAATATTAAAGTACAGACTTTAAATGAAAAATATTCGATTTAAATAATTTGACCAAAAAAATTAAATTAAACGTTTTTTCAAATTTTTGTCCATTTCCGGCGATTTTTTAAGGATTTTTCCCAAAAATTTATGATTTTTCTGTTTATTGCGGGAGTGGTATGTGGAACTAGCGATTATTTTGAATCAACGTGGATAGAGCCACTATGTTTACAGTCGTCTATGTTTATAAAACTTTAATTTGAATGAACTTTTTACAATGATTGGATCGGATTGAATCAAATAGCTATGGTTTTGAGATATGAGTGAGGATTAGCTATGACACTAGATTCATAAACATAACCAAGATTTTAGAGATCCCTCTTCAAAGAGCCAACACTCTCTTCCTCATAAATTTTTGATGCATGCAAAAAAGAATGTTCTGGCAACGAAACAGTCTGGATTAACCACGGTTTTGTTTAGGTAGCATCTAAGATTTGCATTAGATAGGAGAAGATTAGATAGGTTAATTAGAATATTTCTTAGGTTTCGTGCTTATTTATAAATAAGTTTAATTAAAGACTTCTCATGGATTGAATTTAATAAGAATGATGTTTATTCTTCGGAGTTTAACAACTCAATAAAAAGCGTGTAAAAACAGACTATTTATTTCTATGTAGGGGCTAAGAACTATACAAGGAGAAAACAACTAAGTATAGTTGCAAATACAATTTAAATATTAAACAACAGTTGATATATTCTCAACAATTTTCAAGATTACGCTAAGGATAAAATCATATTCGAGAGGAATTGACCATAGAAAGAATCAATAATTAATCAAAAAGAATGTTTTTATCGACAAGGAGGATTAGGGTGTGGATTTAATGACTACATGTCTAACAAGACATAATCTAAACACTTAAAATCTCTGAAATGCACATCATAAGTTCGTAACCTACTTAAAAATTACCCAAGTCAAACCATTCTACATACCACTCAAGTCTATTAAAAGATTTAACTATAATAATTAAAATATATTGTCAAAAAGAATATTCGCGATAAATAATTATTTGTACCTGACGAAATAAATAAAACAAAATTAACTTTAGTCGTACACAAAGCAGGAAATTTGATTGAAAAGTCGCTTGAAATGGAAATTTTTTTCTTTTATTTTTTGATTTAATAAAAAAAAATTTATAATGGATATAATTGATATGAGAACGCCATAAAAATAATTGGGATATAAAAATTTGTTGCTGTAATTTTTGATGAATGATAATAAAGATGAAAAATTTAATTAAATGAATTAGTTGATTGACTTTTTGCAGGATATAATTATTTTAATGCTTAATTGAAGCATGTTCGTTTTGGTTTTAGCTGATCCCTACTGTTCATAAAGCTTTGAGCTTCGAATGCAACTTTTTTCATTTGCTGGTCTGAAAATTCAAAGTAGTTCCTTTTCTTAATGTCAACTCTAGTAGATTCACGTCCTCGCATCTCTTGAAAGATCCCAAACGTATCTGTCAATTTAAGTTTCTTTGACTCCGGTTCCTTTGGACTCTCACCTTCAGTAAAGGTGCAATCAGAATCACTATCTTGCAGTCTAAATGAATCTAATGTAAGATTTCCAACTGTCGTCTCTTGACTCATGAATTCAGCTATGCTTTGGTTAAGTAAATTGACAGGTGCTTCAGCATTAAGACAGACACTCATTTGGAAGTATTCAGCAGCATTTTTGAAATCATTCAACTCATTTGCAGGAACACTCGCTTTTCCACAATAGATGTACTCGAGAATTTTTGTAAGCTGTACTAGCGTGATGTCCTTAAGAACTATTGTTGGATTCGCCTCACCGAGCATTGAAAACAGTTCCTAGAAAGTCATAATATATTAAATTTTATACCTTAAAGATAAAGAATCACAATACTCACATGAAAATACTGACTGGATGCAGCTAGTAGGAGCTTGTGACATCTGATAATTCGTTTTTCGCACACCAAAGTAACATCAGTTAAATCTTCTTTTACGAGGAATTCATGGAAGCGAACTCGATTCTCTAATGTAAATTCGTAAGTTTGCATATTCATCTTTTTGTCTATACAGCATGAGAGCTTGTATTCAAATGATAAGATTAATTAAAGGCATAACATGAGGGAAACTTTAAAAGTTTTTGATTTCATTATTTCTTATTCAGGTAGATATTTGTTATAAGACATGATTTAGTTTGATTAACAGGAAGTAACATGAATGTTCTTGCTCAGTACCTGAAAAAACTGAAATTAATGAAAATAAGATAGTAAAAGCAAAACTTCAAAAAAATAACGGGTTTTAAAAATTTAAATTACCGTTAAAAAGGCATCACTTTGAAATTCAAAAGAATAAGTCGTCGCTTTACCGCAGTTCAAATAATTTTTTGTTATTGTTTTCACCTGTCCACTAAAATTAACATTTCTCCGTGAAATCGACTGTGAAAAATTATACAATTGGCTCTAAAGATTAACTAAAGGATACAGTCATACAAATATAGTATAATCAAGGATGGCAAGCACGAAAAGCAACCAAAAAACTGCCCAAGAAGAAGTTTTCACTCAATTTCAACATTTAAGAAATGAACAGCGAAATCTTGTGAATAATTTATCGACATTGGAGCTAGATCTCAAGGAACATAAGTAAGTGCTGTAACAAAGTGCTCATATGTTAGAAATTAAGTTCAAGTTTAATGAAAATTTTGTATCTATTTTTAACCTCAACTTCGAAATTTATTGTTGCCCAAAACTTCCTCATTTCTCTCGTTCTGTCTATCTTGTTTTATGAAAATGATCATTGACCAACTAATGAGCTTGCCAAAAAAATATTATTTGCATTACACTCTTCTTATTCGCTTCCTCTAATTACTGTAATAAATATATACATTTCTGATGTTTCTTTTTAGGACGGTTATAGACACTCTGAAGACAGTAGATGAAAATAGAAAATGTTTCCGTCTAATTGGTGGAGTGCTATGTGAACAAACTGTAAAGGAAACCCTTCCGAACTTAATACAGAACAAAGATCAATTAGAGAAACTTATCGAAAATGGTAAGGAACAATTGACCAAAAAGGGACAAGAGATTAATAAGTTTAAGGAAGAACACAATATTCAAGTACGAGAGCAGTCGTCAGAACCAGCATCGAAAGAAGCAAAGAATGAACCATCAACCGCTGGTAAAAGTAACGTTCTTGTCTCTTAATTCATCACTTGTATGCTGGCATTAATCATATACCAAGTTGGTATTGATAAATATAATAAATTATTCATTTATATCCTCCCTCAATTTCCTTGAACTAATCAATCATTAATACGATAATTTGTTAACATGAACTTTTTATTTTGAAGTCCTTAATTTCACAATTTTTAAATAAATTTGCAATTTTTTTTTCTTCTTAAAACTTAACAATTTGGACGTTTAAAGTCACTCTTTCCTCCTGACTTTTCCATTAATCGTATATTAGTTATTGATATATCATGCGATACAGCTTTACACATGTCATAAACAGTCAAGGCAGAAATAGACACGGCAGTTAAGGCTTCAATCTCACATCCAGTATTCCAAAAGCATTCAATTGTTGCACAAATTTCAACTCGATTTTCGTCTTCATTCAGCTTTAAATCAACTTTAACTGATGAAAGTGGAATGTGATGAGTTAGAGGAACTAGATTTGGTGTATTTTTAGCACCCATAATTCCTGCAATTTGTGCAATCGATAAGACATCGCCTTTCTTCATCAAATTGCCTCTAATAAGACTTGTTATTTCTTTACTGATGTTTACATGGCCACATGCTGTTGCTTTTCTCTTCGTATGTGACTTGTTGATTACATTGACCATTGCTGCCTTTCCCTGCTCATCGACATGTGTTAATTTTGTAGAGAATGCTCTCATTTGTAGTTTATTTAAGTTACTGGATGTTTTGAGGAATCTTTGGTCTGCAAAAATACTAATTAGATTCTGGACTGACTTGAGAAAAGAACCAATGCTTAAGAATAAGTCATTCTAAGCATTGATCCTATAAAAAATCACCTAAACAGAACTACTAGCCTCCTATGAGAATCATTGGTCGATTTTCCATATTAGAAAGATTCAACATGCCTAGACATCGTTCGAACAAACCATTAATCACTTAATTTACACAACATAAATCATCGAGCTTACCAGCATGTTGCTTCTTTTTACGTAAAACTGAGGCACCAATTAAAGCTATAAGATCATCTTCCGAGCAACCTTTACGAATTGCATCGCGAAGTGAAATTTCTTTATTTCCAAAAAGACAAACTTTTAAATTACCGTCAGCTGTTATTCGCAGTCGATTACAGGTACCGCAAAAATGTTCAGTCATGGATGTGATGAAGCCAACTTGTCCTTTGTAGTTTGGCACTTTAAAGGCTTTAGATGTGTCGTTTGGACCATTAGAAAGGGTTTCTAAGTTTGGATACTTTTCTTTAATGGAACTAAGCATGTCATTGTATGGAAGGAGCTTCGCTGTATGCCAACGATTGCCAGAAAATGGCATGTACTCAATAAATCTAATATCAACATCACGATCTTTAGTCCATTCAACAAAATCACAGATTTCATCATCATTAAAGTTCTTCATAGCTACACAATTAATTTTTGGCTTATAGCCAAGCTGAATAGCTAAGTCAATTCCAGCAATGACACGTTCAAAGCCCTTCCTCCTCGTAATTTGCTCATATTTCTTTGGCTGAAGCGTATCTAGAGAGATGTTTAAGGAATCAAGTCCAGCACGTTGATAACTTACTAAATTTCTAGTCAGCACTAAGGCATTTGTCGTGATGCTGACATTCTCCAATTTTGGAATTTCTTTCAGTTGAGAAATAATGTCAACTAAATCTTTACGTATGGTCGGTTCCCCACCAGTTAATCTTATTTTCCTTACACCTTGACTGACGAATAGTCGAGAAATTAAAATTATTTCATCAGTCGACAGCAAGTGAGACTTTGGAGAAAGTGGAACTCCTTCAGCTGGCATACAGTATTGACATCGTAAGTTACATTTTTCAGTCAATGATATACGTAGGTAGGAATGAAATCGTCCGAAAGAGTCAGTAAGTGGCGATACTTGTTGCTTCTAGAAATATATTTTTAAAAAATTGTCAATTCATCAAATTTAGATAAGAAGCCTCAAGTCATGCTTACAACTTTATTTTGCGCTGTTTCTATGGAATGGTTTTCTTCTGTAATCGACGCAAATTTCAGTGATTTGGAAGATGATCGTCTTACACATGAATTGTTGGTCGCAAATGGATATAACTTGATGATTCTATTGCTAAATACTTTATTTAGATTCATTTTAGAGTTTAAATCACTCGAGAATCTTTAAATGCTGTAATTTTATGTACGGAAGTATTAAAAACTACTTTTTAACTATTTACAATTAATGATAGGCATTGTCTTCGTACGTTAGAGTCGCGGTATTGTGACGGATCACAACAAAAGCATGACTTTTGAATTTAACAATTTCAGTTTGATTTTTGATCTTTTTTTGGTTTTTAAAGATTGAAAATTCTGAATTTTAGGATTAAGAGTCATTAATTGAATAAAGATTAGCTCAGATGAAGATTAATAGCTACTCCAACTTTTGGGAATCCTCGATAATTTCAAATATTCTAAACCATAACATTGTGAAACACAATTCCAATAAATAAACACAGACCGAGAAGATTTTGAATAGTTAAACTTGGAATCTAGTCGCATAAACACGTACTTAAACTTTGTGATATTAGATTAAGCTTTAGTTAAGTTAAATTAAGCATTATTAAATATCAAATCATTCAAAGCTCACGTCAACAAAGAATATGAACGATTTAAATTGCCATCCTCAACAATCTTCCGACAGATTTTGCATCCACAGTTGTAAAATTGGCGGAAAATCAGTTGAAAAGTATTGCAAGAAACCAAAAGCTGCTGACAACAATTCATCAAGTGTATTAAGGGCGATTCCATGAGTAAATGGAACTGAAAATTTTTTGTTCAAAAACTTTTTTAGATTTTTCTGCTTAAATATACATATTTCAACATATATTTTCACTTAATAAGACTTATTATTCATCAATTCATGTGTTATTAGCATTTAATAGTCTTAATTATGCTGCATTTTGACAAAAATATGTAATATGTTTTGCAATAATCGGTTGAAAGTTGACCGATTAAGTGGTGTTTTCCCCAATTTTCTCCTTAATTACAGTAGTAAGACATACAAATAAGATATTGTTATAAAGCACAGACGATTTCACGTGAGTTTATCATAGATTTGTAACACAACAATGGATATTCGAAGAAATATTGATGAAAATTTAAAAATCAATTTTTCGTAAAGGGCGATTCCATGAGTGAATTTTTTTTTCTGAACTCAATTTTTTGTAAATATTTCCTTAATTAACTTCATTTAACGCCATATTTAAGATTTATTTTATTTGTTATTATGGTATATATGTATTTTAGTGCATAATCTTTTAGTTAAATCTGTCTGACAAAAGATATTTTAAAAAAACCAAACTTAATCGGTCAACTTTACGAAAAATTGATTTTTAAATTTTCATCAATATTTCTTCGAATATCCATTGTTGTGTTACAAATCTATGATAAACACACGTGAAATCGTCTGTGCTTTATAACAATATCTTATTTGTATGTCTTACTACTGTAATTAAGGAGAAAATTGGGGAAAACACCACTTAATCGGTCAACTTTCAACCGATTATTGCAAAACATATTACATATTTTTGTCAAAATGCAGCATAATTAAGACTATTAAATGCTAATAACACATGAATTGATGAATAATAAGTCTTATTAAGTGAAAATATATGTTGAAATATGTATATTTAAGCAGAAAAATCTAAAAAAGTTTTTGAACAAAAAATTTTCAGTTCCATTTACTCATGGAATCGCCCTAAAGTTGACCGATTAAGTTTGGTTTTTTTAAAATATCTTTTGTCAGACAGATTTAACTAAAAGATTATGCACTAAAATACATATATACCATAATAACAAATAAAATAAATCTTAAATATGGCGTTAAATGAAGTTAATTAAGGAAATATTTACAAAAAATTGAGTTCAGAAAAAAAAATTCACTCATGGAATCGCCCTTAAAGAGAATTCAGTTACTTCCCATTTCTAAGAAGTCAAAAGAATTTTTGTCAAAATTAGTGATGAATCATACAATCTGTGACATCACGAAGCTAGCCAAGATAAGCAAAACGTCTATAACACTTCATGGAAAAGTAAATATTAAGAGCACTGGAAGTATTGTGGACGTAATTATGAAAGTCTACTCCGATTCTCGTAAAATTAACGATAAACTGTATGCATACAGCAGGAACATCTATAAAGAAGAGAAGGAGATTTTACCAGATGTATATCCAAATACAATTGATTCAGATCCATTTTATCTTGAGGAGCACATTGTTTATTACAAAGATGACAACATTGTTATCATAAAAATGTTCAAGTATTGTAAAACCATCGAACAGATGATTAAAAGCTTTCCAAATAAAAGGAACAGCTTTTTTGTTGAACTTTTAGCACTTTATGGAGACATAAAGAAAAGAGATAATAGCTTATGGCAAAACACGGCATGCACAATGAAAAATATCATATGGCATAACGGGAAGTGGATATTTTTAAGCACAATCTGTTGTCCAGGATATTGTCAACGCAAAGGAATGGAAGCAGATAATATACTTGCAATTATTGATCTTTTTAAGTCTTATGGAATGACAAATGAAGAACTAATGAATGGAGTGAAGCAACAAATGCTGTCGAATTATTACTTTCCTTGTATTTTTAGTCAGGTTGGCTTTTTGGAGAAGCACTTTCCTGCCGAAAAGAAATAAAATGTTTTGCTTGAGTCATCTTGAGCTTTTTGGCTGAACCATTTTAAAATTATTGTTTTTTAATTGTCTTTAACTTTTTAGCTAAATGGATGGAATTGGACTATGGAAACAAGATCCTTTCCAGAGGAAATAAACAGGTTATATTCAAATTCCAATCCAAACGCTTGTTTAAATAAACTTATAATTTTTAAAAAAATCATTATCTTTGGTCTTAATTTAATTCTTAGTTTCTTAAAAGAACTTAATATCGGTTAATTTCGAAAGTCTGAAAATGAACTTATCTCAAAAGCTTTCTCACACAATACCATTACAGCCTCGATATACAGGAACCAAAATATTGTGAAAAATATAAGTATCAAGTTTTTATTTCATTTAAACCATTAATTTGAGATTTGACATAAAAAGCAGCAAGTATTAATTTGCGCAATTTACTTTAAATTTGTGAAATCGGAACACCATCTCTCAAGTATTCTCAAAATTCAGGAATAATTTGCAATATTGTGAAATTCATTTCGATTAAAAAAAACAGTTCAAGATTATTTTCCTTAGTTCAGTTTTGGCAATAGTCATTTAAACATTTAACTTATTTAAACTTTGTGATATTAGATTAAGTTTAAGTTTAATTAGACATCATTCAAGACACATCTCTAGCAAATCACCTGAAACTTACATCTATAAAACTATGGAAGATTTTATTGACAATTCTGAAAAATTTTACGACGATTTCTACATCAACAACTATAAAAGTGGGGGAAAATCAGCGAAAAACTATTACAAGAAGCCAAAATCTGCTGACAACAAAACATCGAACTTATTAAAGAAAATCCAATCACTTCCCATTTCTAAACAATCCAAAGAATCTTTAACAAAATTAGTGATTAATCATACAATCAGTGACATCACAAAATTAGTAAAGATAAGCAAAAGGTCTGTGACACTTCATGGAAAAGTAAAAATTAAGCCGAAATTACCTACCTGGTTTTACTTGGAAGATAATGTTGAAAAAGTTGAAGATGTGATTATCAAAGTGTATTGTGATTCTTGTGGAAACAGCAACGAACTTTATGCATACAGCAGGAATATCTTTGACGAAAAGAAACCAAAGATTTACGAAGATTTTCCAAAATTAATTCAAAAAGATTCAGCTTATCTAAGAGAAAACATCATCCTGTATAGTGTCGATAATGTTTCATTCATAAAAATGTTCAAAGACTGCAAAACTTTAGAACAAATGATCAAAAGCTTCCCAAACAATCGGAATGCTTACTACATTGAGCTTTTATGGCTTTATAAAGATATAAAGAAAAGAGATGGGTTCTTCTGGAATAACAAAGCATGCACAATGAAGAATATTTTATGGCACAATGGAAAATGGATATTCTTAAGCACAAATTGTAGTACTGGACATTGCAATTACCAAGGATTAGAATCTGATAATTTGCTTAAAATTATTGAACTTTTTAGGTCTTATGGAATGTCAAATGAAGAACTTAAGAAAGGATTAAAGCAACAGAACAACTTTGATATCTTTCCGGATAGCTTTCAGAGGAAAGACTTTTATGATAAGCATTTCCCAATGTAAAATAAAAACACAATTCTAAAACTGTGTATAATAATAATAAAAGTAATCCTTTATTTGAATGCATGAAATATGTCGGAACAAAAATATAGTTTTTTTGATATTAACCTCGTCGGTTTTAAATCAAATTTTAAAATGGGATATGATTAGTGATATGACATGATTTAAGCTTTGAAAATTTGAGTTTCGGTCAAAAAATTTTTTTTAAAAAAACCAATTAAAACAAAAAAATGAAAAACTGTGTATAACATTTATGCTAGCTACTCAGAATGCACTTAAAATTTAATCTTTAGTAATCAGACCAAAAAGTTGCATTTTTAAATCACTTTATTTTGAGAATAAAATATATTTCCATTATTTTTAAAAATTACTTCCAATTGCCATTTACTTCTCTATTTCAGATTTATTTACTGTCTACAAGAATGATCATCTCTATGTTGGAAGATTCCTTAAACTTTCCCAGATCTTTAGATTGAGTTTTGATTCTTATCGAACAATAGATTAAAAGGTGACTTGGGACATGACTTGAACATTACTTTACTGATCAATTACTGGAACATCGACAAAGTGATTTTGTTTTAGAACCCTATAAATAAATGTAGTGCTCGCCCAACATGTAGCTTGGAAAGTTCTTACCCATTGGAATCAAAAAGGTTATTGATCCTAACTTAGTATAGTTTTTTTTTAAAAATTGTTTTAAAAAAAACTTATCTTAAAAGCTCGTTCAAACATAACCATCAAAGTCTCGGTTTAAAGAAGCGGAAATATTGAAAAATAAAAAGTCAGCATCAAGTATTAAGTTATTAGAAAATAATCGTAAATATGAGATTGACATAACCAGTAAGCAGAATTAATTTGCGTACCTAAGTTCAAAATTGTGAAATTGGTACATCACCTTTCAAGTATTCTCGAAATTCAAGAATAATTAGTAATATTGTGAAATACATTTCCAATATAAACACACAGCTCAAGAGTATTTTTCATAGTTTAATTTTGGAACTAGTCGAATAAACACTTAATTAGCTCACTTTAACTTTGTGATATTAGATTAAGCTTAAGTTAAGGTTAGTTAAGTTTTATTAAGCATCATTGAAGACACATCTTTAGCAAATCATCTGAAACTAACGACTGTTAAAACTATGAAAGATTTTATTGACAATTCTGAAGAATTTTACGACGATTTCTACATCAACAACTATAAAAGTGGGGGAAAATCAGTCAAAAAATATTACAAGAAGCCAAAATCTGCTGACAACAAAACATCGAACTTATTAAAGAAAATCCAGTCACTTCCCATTTCTAAACAATCCAAAGAATCTTTAACAAAATTAGTGATTAATCATACAATCAGTGACATCACGAAATTAATAAAGATAAGCAAAAGGTCTGTGACACTTCATGGAAAAGTAAATATTAGGAATATTGGAAGTGTCAATGATGTAATTATTAAAGTTTACTGTGAATCCTGTGGAAACCACAATGAACTTTATGCATACAGCAGGAATATCTATGATGAAAAAAAGCCAGAAATTTATGATAAATATCCGAGATCAATCCAGACTGACTCAGACTATATCAGAGAGAACATAATTCTGTATAAAGTCGACAATGTTGCATTCATAAAAATGTTCAAGGACTGCAAAACCATCGAACAAATGATCAAAAGCTCTCCAACCAAAAAGAATGCTCATTACATTGAGCTTTTAGGTCTTTACAAAGATGTAAAGCGAAGAGATTGGTATTTTTGGCAAAATAATGCATGCACAATGAAGAATATTTTATGGCATAATGGAAAATGGGTATTTTTAAGCACAAACTGTAGTACTGGACATTGCTATCATCAAGGATCAGAATCTGACAATTTACTCAAAATTATTGAGCTTTTTAAATCTTATGGAATGTCAAATGAAGAACTCAAGAAAGGATTAAAGGAACAGAACAACCTTGACAGCTTTCCACAAAATTTTAAGAAGAAAGACTTTTATGATAAGCATTTTCCTATGTAAAATACAGTACTTAAGACATAATGCTAAGAAGTAAACTGATCCATGTGATTTACTCAGAATGTACTTAAAGCTTTCTTTAAATTAATCAGACCAAAAATTTAAATATTAAAGTTACTTTATTTTGAGAATAAAATATATTTTGAAGCTCACTCCTTGTTGTCTTTGGTTTATCTCTTTATTTCAGCTCCAATCATTGTCTTCAAGAACAAAAACTTCAAATTTCGAAATATCTTCAAGATTTCTTAACGAAACAATCACTTAAACTTCACAAGGTGGATCGTTGAAGCCTTATTAAGTTCGAAGTTAACTCTTCCCCTCCCTCTTTCTTGTCACTTAACCTTATGCTTTCTCGCTATCGGGATCGGGATCGGGATTTCCCGGGATTTACCGATCCCGATCAATCCCGGGATCCCGAAATTTATCGGGATCGGGATTGAAAATCCCGGTTTTTAAGTTTAGGAAATTATTGATGTTTTAGAACCTGCTAAATACGCGACAGAAGAATTATTGCGTAAATCAAACGATTTATTAATTGCTGAAGGAACAATTAACTTTTTTCTAGACGAATTGTTGCTACAAGGAACATTATTGTCTCAAAAGATTTACGATATGAATTGCGCTCGCATAGGTGCACGAAGAAATGGAACATTAATTGACTTAATACTTTACCTGAATAATCCTCAATATATTTCTTTAGACAAGCATTTTAAATCGTCAACAAAAGCTGCAATACATAAACTTGGCATTGACTTATTGAAGAAGTATTTTGTCAAAAACTCTACAAATGGAGCTATGGAAGCTTCAACATCCAGTGCAAATCAAATCCAACCGTCAAACATTTCTATTCGAGATAGACTGAAACTAAGCATATCTGAATATACATCATTGACAACAGATGCAGCAGCAACAGAACCAAATAACTTGAAAAGAGAGTTTAATTGGTATGAAAAAAATAAGAAGAGAACCGTTTTGTTAGATCAACTTTGCGATGCATTGATAACAATGCAGCCGACCTCAACTCAAAGCGAACGAATTTTCTCTATTAGTAACATCATTCTTACAAAACAAAGAAAACGTTTACTTGACAAGAATCTAAATGCAATTGCATTTGTTAAAAGTTTTTTCATTAATGCTTAATTTTTATTATTATATTCACACCGTTCTCTATAACCTTTAAACTTACATCTTTATCAACATTTATTTTCTATTTTTGTTTATGTTCACATTTTTCAAAGGAAACATGAATTAAAACATCTACCTTGTAACACATAAAGTATAAATAATTAATTAAGGAATAAATGACCGTATAAGTAGCAAAAAAATATATAATTTTTTTTGGGAAAAAAAGCAGAAAAATGCTGTTTTTTAAATTTTTTTACATATTCGGGATTCCCGGGATTTCCCGGAAAATCCCGAAAAATTTCAATCCCGATCCCGATCCCGAAAATTTGTCGGGACCGGGATTTCGAGAAAGCATACTTAACCTCAGACTACCTCAAAAAAAAATATATTTGTAGTTTTCAGTTATTTTAAAAAAGGAATTTAAGCATCACAAAAAAAAGCAGGCAAATGAAGAAATCTCTGATATTTGATATCATCATTTCCACACAAAGCATGTCAAAATAATCATGCAAAGCTAAGAAAATCATTTGGTTTGCAATATAAAATTCAAATCAAAAACTAATCAAGAAAGAAATATTCGATATTATGATGTTGAGCATCATAAACCAATTATAGAAAGATCAAAGAAAAGATGCCGCCTATAAAAAAAGAGAATCTCGTGTGTGTAGCTGATGTGCGTAAGTATTTCTATCTCTTTTCTGTTAGCTCAATAGAATACAGTAATAATAATGATAATGAATAATCGAAAAAAAAGAGAAAGAAAGAAAAATAGGTGGATAGATGGGAAAGACAGATGATGGCATGAGGAAGGAAAACACATAAATTCTTTTTTTAGTAATATTTTTTTTTTACTATACTGTGCTTTGTCGGTAAAGCATCAAACGATACCTTGAATGCCTTCTATATTTGAGCATCCCATAAAAAAGTACGTTAGAATAATTCAAATGAGAGTTGAAAGTATTGTGTTTGAGTTTGAGGTGCATTTTGAGATTGATGAGGAGTTATAGTTGTGTTGGGAAGTTCTAGGTCACTTAAAATTCCATATTTCCAATTAACAGCATGATTCAACTTTAACGGTTTTTTAAATTTCAAATTTTGAAATTTAAAAAACCGTTAAAAATTAATGAGGTGCTTTTAAGCTAGTTTCAAAAACCAAAACGTCAGCCACCAAATGCCCTCCATTCCTTGAATAACATCCAGTTCTAAACTATATTAAGGCTAAATCCTGAGAGAATCAATAACAACACAGCAACAAGTCGTCTCATTTTCAATGTTCTCTTCTGCCGCTGTATAAACACTTAGGAAGGCTTTCAATATATTTTAGTGACTTTTTTTATGGAGAGTTAAGAAAAGGATATCAATGCTAATGCTAATGTCGTCCTATAATGTATCGCCAAAGAGAATTAACCTTTTTTTTTGTTCGGCAAAACATCAAAGTCAATTCCCATGATTGATCATTGCCGACAGAACAAGAAGAAGTAAATTTGCCAAAAATTTCTCTTAAGAAGTAACAGAAGAGAAGTACAAAGAAGATGAAGAAGGCAATAGAGAGATTATTGTGTATCGATTGCTCTTTTCTTTGGCGACAATTTTGTCTATTCTAAGTCATCCAGAAAGGAGAAAAAATTTCACGACAGGAGGCAGCCTGTGAGGTCCTTTTTCATCTCTCTTAAGGCTGAAACAAATCTTTGTTTTGACATAAAAATCGTCTCTAATAATGTTTCAATTTTACATGTCTTCAACTGAAACGAAAGTATATCCCTCGATAATGCATTTTAAATGGATCTTTTAAAAGCGGCACTAGATCTTTGATGCCGTAAAAGAGCAGAACTAAAGATATTACATTAAGATGAAAGTCCTTTCTGGAGAACAACAAGGAACGATCGATTGTGCATCTTATGGATAAAAGTTAAATGCCAAAATGACATTTGAAGATTCTTTTCTTCTTATTCACTCCGGTTGTAATTTTTCACAAAAGATATGACGAAAGCAATTAAGTATGCACTTTGTAGATTGCTGTTATGTGATATATTGCCTTTTGAAATTCAAGGCTTGATTCGTTCCTTACATTAGGGCAATTTTCGAATTATAAATCAATTTTTTATGATGTTCCATCATTTCTCAGGGATATCTATTGACTTACAGTGTGGAAAATTTGGGATTGTGTCGAATGGAACGAGATGGATTTTCTTTTGATGTCACTTGTTGCATAGATCATTTAAACTTTTTGTGGTTTTGATCTTCAGATTACATATAAAATATGATTTTTGACTAATTTTGAGTTGAAAAAATGCTTTTGAAATGGTTCACAATGGCAAGGCAGTATAAATGCTTAGGTACTTATTTACTGTAACTATGTTCCTACGTAGAGCTTAGGCTACAACAAAAGGCTCTTCATTTGACTCTGTTGCTGGCTCTGTCACTTGGTTTGTACAATAATTTCTCTGTCCACACATTAAGCTGACATTCTTTCGTCACTGTTCTGAGCCAAGTAGCTATTGGAGCTCTTGGAAGTTTTTTCCTTTACGGATTCCAACCAAACACGATGTAACAAACTTGTGTTTCTGTCCCAGCAATGAAATTCACTTTGGCAAGTATAAATGCTGAATTAAAGATATGTCTTAGGTTTTGAAATAAATCTCCGTCCTCAGTAGAACAGAAGTTTTGTTATTGAATCTTCTGTGGCCGAACAGCAATTCAATAAATTGGAAATCTTACTGATTGATATGGTATAACAGATTGGTAGAGAATTACATTAAATTGTTCTCAATAGATTGGATCCGAATCCACAGCAGTATGCGATTAAATGTTGTCCATGTTGTGGCCAACCAGACACTACCCTTAAAACTCAGCTTTGTTCTAAGTTAACTGACTGATTAGTCACTATTTGATCAGTATTTTAATATCGGTTGAGTTGTAAGCCTCTTTTTGGTTTGATTCTCAGCAGAAGTTGGATGGATCTATTAATGATGAGATAAAGTTTTCAATATAACAAGGATTTGAACAATGATCAAGACAGTACACTAAATAAGACAACTCGAGTGTCACATTTCAATAACTTCTAAAATTCAACAAAACACTCCAATCCAAATCCAGCCAGCCACAAAAATCATTCCCAATAAATTGTCAACAAATGTCATTTCTCAAGCCCAAAAAAAAAATCTTTTCTAAACTGCGACACACAAAACAGCCACATCCATATTCCCATAAAAGCAATTTCAATTAATTCAACAAAATATTGTCTTATTTCAGCAATAATGAAGTCATTTTTCTCCGATTATCAAGTGCTATTCTTATTGACATTTTAGCACAATCTATTTTTTATTATATTATGCAAAATATTGACACAAAAAAATATATTCGGATCGAAGCTCATAAAGTACAACTTGTTACGCGAACATATGAGAATGACACAAAATCCTAATATATATTTTATTTCTGTTATCTTCTTTCTCACACACGGCATTCGATTCTGTTTTTTTTTTCAAATGGAATTTAAATAATTTTCTCATAATTTCTGCGCATATTTTTTTTTTATCTAAAACAGCTTGTTAGAGAAACTATAAACATCGTTTTTTTTACCTTCATCTGCTGTAGAGCAAAACGATAGTCTTAGCGCGACTGCTGAGAAATTAAAATTAAAATCACAAAATAGGTGACGCGTTAGAATTTAAATAAACACAAATTTTAATATAGCTTTGATCGTCATACAACAATATATAACTAGGAGCTTTATGCTTAATTTTTTTTTTGATTAAGGATCTTAATGAAAATTTGGAGGATCTTAAGGTTCGTTTTGTCTGACTGATTGAGGATCTAAGCCAAGCGCGTAACCAGGGGGGGGGGGGGGGGGTATCTGGGAAACAAATCTCTCGACGTTAACAGAAATTTCTTCATTTTGCTAGGAGTTTTATGAAAAAATCATAAAAATCTCCCCTTACCTCTGAATTTTCCATATAAAATTTAATT